AAAACATCCGCGAAGAAGCACATGCGGCAATGGAGATGGCCCAGAACGTCCTGGCCAAGAGAGTAAAAAGGAAGGGGGGTTCCTTCCGTAAAGGTCAGCTGGTATGGCTAGACTCCCGGAACTTGAAGCTGCCGTACCCGTCCAGGAAACTAGCCCCGAGGCGAGAAGGGCCGTTCAAAGTCCTAGATAAGATTGGAACAGTCGCGTACAAGCTAGACTTGCCTAGCACCTGGCGAGTCCACCCCGTTTTCCACGAATGGCTTCTATCTCCCTACTCAGAAATGGAGATCCATGGTCCGAACTACACGAGGCCACCCCCTGACCTTATCGAAGGCGAAGATAACTACGAAGTCGAAGCCATCATCGGACACCGAGAGAACAAGAGGATGCGACGCCGCGAATATCGCGTCAGGTGGAAGGGTTACTCAACAGCTGATGACTCATGGGAGCCCGAAGCGAACCTGACGGGGACGGCTGACGAAGTGTTGGCAGAGTATAAAAACAGGAAGGACTTGAGCTGAATCGATAGCAGCTCTACCCAGTCGCTACATCCCCACTCGCACCAACATGTCTTCCACCCTCTCGTTCCTCGACCAGTTCAACGCCCCCTCGACCGAAGGCGGGAAAAGGCTCTCAATCTACACCCCTAAGCACACCCACGTCGGCGACAGCACCTTGCTGACGCTCCTTCTCAGTAATCCCACCGACATTTTCAACAAGCTCAAAGCCCACAACCCCGAGGCAACCAATGCCACCGATCGCGCTGCACTAGAAGCGTACCTCTCCGCTCGCCATGAATACGACGAGGCTGTCAAGGCAGCCGACGAGGCCATCGACCATCACAAGCGACTCCTACGTCAACAGGACGACCGTGTCCTCACCGAGCTCATTCGACTCGACAATCTGAAAGTTGCCCATCGCTTTCAACCGCTCCTACCGCGCAGCATCCGGGCGCAACACAACAAATTCATCCCGCGCGCCATCCCCAACGCGTACTTACCCCTACCCGCACCCCTACCGACGTCTGCCTTCAAGCGCCCCCCGATCCCATCCCCTTTCCTCCAAGCAACACCGCGGAGCACTACCATCCCGGCTGACTGGCAACCCAACCCTGGTTGGACCCCGAAGGGAAGCTGCAGGCGATGCGGATCGTCTCGACACTGGGTACGGGACTGTCCGGACGTACGATGCGCAGGATGTGGAAAAGAAGCCCCTGGACACCTGGAGCGAGAGTGTGGAACCAGGCCGATGAAGCGACACGTATCCGCACCACCTGAAGAACCTGCGCGATGCGTGGGGGTGGTCGTCGACAACGTGTTCCTCGAAGGAATCATCAACGAGGCGAAGGAGAGGAAGGAGAAAGAAAGGCAGACGAAAGCGATACCCATCCCTCCACCGCGTAGCGCTAACCCCGAACCCCCCGCCAGTCCCGTCGCGGGACCTTCGCGCCCCCGCCCCGATACACCCGTCGTCTTTCGCAAAGTCGATCCCGACTGGACACCCGACACCACTCAATGGACGTGGGACAGCTCCTGGCCGAATCAGAAGCACCTCTCTGGCGAGGAATGGATGAACGTAGGGAGGAACGCGCGCAAGGAGTGGTTCGACGAAGAGGAGGACGACGGCGTAGATTGGGAGTTGTATGGAGATGGTGAGCAGTAAGTAGTCGAATGGGACTTCAACTCTGGTAGGGGGGTAATGAAACATTTGTCTTTCCGTTCTATTCCTTGTACTACTAGCGCCCATACTGGCGCCTGTCTTAGCGCTCACCCGCAGGTTGAACATTATGTAGCTTACATAATGGGGTCCGTGCGCACTTCGTGCCTGGTATCGTACTACTACGTTTCTTTCTTCACTAACACGACCACATAGACACGATGGTCCGTGCGCAGTCGGTACTTGTATAAGTAGTTGTACCATTAGTTGGTCGAACCCTAAGTTCGACCTAGTTATTCATTCAAGTCTCTGCTCCTCTTCGCTTGGAGTAGTGGTCATTCTCGACTTCCTCGCTCGATCTTCAGGACAACGCACTGTCCATAAGCCCTTGCTTGTCGTCTACGAGTCAGGCATCGATATAGGAGTATAGACCGTTGTATCAACGATCAGATTTGATGGGCAGCAGTGCACGGCACAGCTCGGGCTCTGCTGACACAGCCGCTCTGACTCACCGGCCCCCGGGGCTGCATCAGCATGCTGTGCACGGACCAGCTGCGCACGGACCAATGCGCACAGCCTGCCCTTATCTTCCCCTGTATATAAGCCGGCCTCTGCTGCCCTAGGGACCTCAGTTTCGACCTCTTGTCCCTAGGTCAGTAAGCTCCCTTTGTATCTTTTCCTTACTTCACTAACTAATACACTATCTTGTCCCTAGCCTTAGGTTTGAGCATTGCTCACCATCACTTCGGTGAGACCCAGTCAAATGCCCCCAGCCTTCGTGTTTGTTTGTCCTTGTCGCTTGACCCCAAGTCGCGACAATTTGTGATATATTACATGTAATCCAGGCTCCCATCGGGTGTCATGATGTATGGTACTTATGTAGCTAACTCCAGAATCTCACATGTACAATATTAATGACACCACATACCTGCCAGCTCATATACGACACAGCGAGCCCACAACTGTCCTGCAATCAAACTTTCATGGTGTCAGGTGAATTCGAGCTGGGAATCGGGTGGAAGAGATGGATAGCTACCATATGATACTCTGAATCCATCATGGCGCCATATGTGACCTAATTCAGCCTCCGGCTGAAAAGCGGGGGGCAGCTATAGAGCCGCGCCGCTGTGGCCACACAAGCGGCACCAGCTGCTGACCATACGGGCGCCAATTGGCGGTGTAGCAGTCGCGCAACAAGTGGCTGTCTTGAGCACACTGCATGCAGGAATCAATTTTCCTGCACAAAATATGAAATAAAAATCGAATTAAAAGCAAATAGCACCTATTGAATCTTACTGATGTTGAAATTGAATGGAAATTGAAGAAAAATCGAAGGAAAATTGAAAGAGACAATGGAAAATGGATTACATAATCGATTTTTCTTCGATTTCATTTCCATATTAGGCGCCGGAATACTGATTAGGTAAATTCACCTTTCTTTCGATTTTTATTTGATTTCTTGTACCAGAAAATCGAATACCGCATGCAGTGATTGGGACATATCGGAACATATTCCCCTGAAGAACATCATGCCAGACGGTGGTGGGTGTTTACAGACCTCGTATAACGAATGATAATTCATTATCTACATGGACAGTGCCAACAATCACATCGCTATTAATACTCCTGTGCTGCCATCCATCTTGATGTGTCAAAGGCTTGAACTTCATGAAGATTTCTAAGGACCTTGATCGGCCTCGTCGCATTCACAGCCTAAGAAGGGCTGTGCCGTATCCGACGGTATAAACATGTCGCATACTATGGCCTCCACAGTGCCCAGTATGTCTGGTGTACCTTTGCTCTCTGCCAGCTTGGCCTCCATCTGCATATCCAGCTTATTATATGGGATACATTTAGTTCTCTTCGTTCTCAACATCTTGCTGATGATGCGCAGTCGAGACTTCAATACCGTCCAATCGAGCCTATCCCCACGACCCATCTATTGTATGCCGAATTTTATTACTACCACGTTGCTCTTGGCTGGCAATACCTTCGTGAGTGGGCATTATTGAGTTGAGTGGTTGTGCCCTCATTCTTGTCATACGAATAGCACTGGATTGTTGCAGTCTTCCGCGTTTACCAGGCTTTCATCCTGTTTCACAACGGCAGCGAACCACTACCATTTTACAGTGATTTATCTCAAATCAGCGAATTGATTTTGACTGGTGCTCTTGTCTTTTGTGTCGTCGTCGGTGACGTTATGATTGTAAGTCTTCTTTGTGATCTCTCATATATTTTGTGCTACCCACTGCGCACACAAGATCCACAGACTCTGGGTGGTATGGGGATTCAACTACCTGGTGGTTATCTTCCCTTCTGCCGCAGTTGCCAGCATCCTAAGTTATTGATCATTCGGACCATCAAGACGAGAAATTTGACACTGTAATGGTTTCTCTAGTCTGTGGCATCGGCAACATTCATCAACTCTCGTTATCAAACCATAATGGAGTCACTAGCGATCAATGGGTCACCGCGAATTGTGTTTCTACCTTGTGGTACGTAGTGAATATCACATGCCAGCTGCGTTGGACTGAACAGACTCATGACAGCACGAATTTATACTGCACTGGTAAGAGTTGCCAATCACACCTCATCAATTGTCATATCTAGTCAACATTACCAATGTTCAGGTATGATCGCATGGAAGATATGGAGCATTCGTAGAGGTATCGGACGTTGTGGTGGCAGCAACTTAATGGTTTGTAATTGCCCTCTCTGTCGTCGATGATGGATTTGAAACCTGCGTGACAGAGGATGCTGGTTTTCGTTGTGGAAAGCGCTGCCCTTTACTCGTGAGTAATTGCTTGCCCTGCTTTGGAATATATCTTCCTGTTAAGCGGTACGCAGGTCATGGGCCTTGTTCTTTTTGGTGGCATTCGAAACACAATCGAGCCTCTAGTTCTTTGCCATCGAGACGGCTTGTCCTATGATTGGGATCACATACATGCTGATCAACGTGCGGATCAGCCTGGGATGGGCGCTAAGTCCAGGGGATATGGCTTACTGCTCTGATCCCAATTCTGATTCCAGCAGCCGATCCATATTATGTTGTGGGATGAAGAAATTCCACATGCTGGCGATGAAAACCACGCATATATTGTTCTATTACAAGGATGACGCGCACAAGCAGGAAAGGCCTTCTCATACAGATCCACCTGGCCCAAATTTATGTAACGAAGATCATCTCGTATAGTCTTCCGTTACCAAACGAGAACCGATGTATGTAGCTACTGGAACTTACCGCAGCGACAAAGTTGTCGTCTATGTGACAGGGAGGAAGCGAGCAAGCATTGTCTCATTAAGACCATCTAGACAGTCAACGGTACTGATGCACCACTCATAGTAATGTTAACGCTGTTCTCGAGGATATATGACACTTGATTTCTCGCCTTAAAATACAGTTTCGTGGGCGATGGGCATACCAGTAATCAAACTAAAACGAGAGCAAACACAAAAGATTTCGACCACTAAGACCTGAGGTTCCAATCATAATATAGCCTGCATTTCCGACACTTACCATAATTGAAAGATCACCAAAAGACCGTCACGATGTACACAGTTAGGCAATCACTTTTGCGCTGTCGGATGATCATTAACTTCAGCAGAAGTAATCAGTAAATAAATCATTGCACGGGTATGTTAGCAACCGGAGAGTAACACTACATTTCCGTAGGTGGTATGGCGACGTTAGTGTACATTATAACGATGAGCTCCATGCAGACATCAAGCCACCACTTGAGATAGAAGTGGTAGATGACCACGATCAGGCGGTCGATGTTGATGAGGCGGCAAGTGTCAGCTTCATGAATCCTCGTGCTTGATAGCGCTCCAAGATGGCACAGTACGACAAGCTCCTTGTCAAATGCTGGCGAGGGGCCCTGCTCGAGACTTCCGCCTGGAACATCAGGCATCCTCTTGTGGCGCTCGTAGATGCGATGGTAATGGGACGCGATGCCCTCAGTTATCATCCACTCGGTGATGTCCTTCGGGAGATAGAACGATATTGTCGACCCAACGACCAGTCTAATCACCCAGCGCTTCCGGTACCAGCCATGCGGCGAACAGGTCCTCTTCCGCAGGAATTGTCTCATCGTCTGCAGTGCAAGAGGTATCGTGGTGCAGCGGAACCTCAACCGCAGTAGATGCCTGTGTGTCGGCCTCAAGGAGAGTACGATCGTCGGCGATGTTGACCGTTCCAGGACTAGGAGAAGCAGTACCCAGCATGTCCACGGCTGGGAGACGTGGAGAGTGTTGGGGAGAAACGCGCTGTTGAGGGCCAGCCGATTGCCTGCCTGGTGAGGGTGTGCTCGGCGTCGACATAGCCGATGTGGTCACTGATGCCTCGATGATGACCTCAGCAGATTCCGCCACTGCAGGGATTCCTGAGGTCGGTAGATTGTCGCTAACACGGAGCGACACACCTGTGAGTCTCGGAGAAGTCGCGATTATACGCAACGAGTCCGACGTTCCTTGCTCAGCGTCCGTAACGCTCTGCGATGGCAACGGCGAAGACACCGTTGATACGGTCAAAGGGCCTGCAGATGGCGGCCGTTCACTCGAGACGCCCGCCGATGATGACGGCTCTGGAGTCGCTGGAGTGGCAACACTACCCGGGCGAGGTAGAGGCTGGCCGAAAATAGTTGACTGTGAGCCCTCCTTGGCTCCCCTATATAACGCAAAGCAGACAAAGGATGAGCGATGATACAATACACGGGGACAATACACTCACTTGCACTTCTCCGCGTGCCGCCCTACCGTGTCTTTACGGTAGTACCATTGAAACTTCATCCTGCATCGTGGGCACCTCCAGATGGTCAAAGGGCCATGGGCCGCCAGAATGTGGCGGCTCAGTTGACCCGCTGACACCTCTGCCGACATCTCCGCGCAGGATGGCCAGGGACACCTTACCCTCGACAAGTGCGCGTGGTGCTTCTCGAGGTGGGTACTGGGCGCCTCTCTGCCCAGTCCAATCTTCATTGTACAGCCGGGGACTCCGCACTGATACGGGACCTGAGGCTCGGACTCCTCTACGACCAAGATCGGGCGCCTATCCGTATCTGGCAGTGCGGCCACGCCTTCGTCCGACGAAGGGGTTCCATCGGCAATGTTCTCGTCCACTCCGTCGCGCAGTGTATTCCGTGATGAGGCTGCAGCACGCCCTTTTCCTTTCTTTGTGCGCTTCGACGAAGGCGCCCCGCTCGTGGATAGACCAGCGCCATCAGTCCGCCGACGCTTCGTCCCGCGCCTCGCAGGAGGGGCAGGAACGATGGGCTGCGGAAGGGGTATATCGCTCAGCGGCGCTGGAGGATGCGATCTCTCAGCATGAGCGTGGCTGGCCCGTGGGTGCAGCAATTGACCGGCAGCAGAAGAACTGCTGAGACAAAACGACAGTGTGGCGTCAGCCCATCGGCGCCACAGGCCAACAATGTCAATCCTCACCTTGGTATAGGGGCCGGAGCCGGCCCGGGAGCCCGCGCACGGCCATGGCCGTCATGGCTGACGACCCGATGGGTGGACGTGCTCGCAGTAGAGGACTCTGCGTGCGAGTGTGGCGTCCCGCGCCTGAGCCGACTTGGGATGCGCACCTCGTCGAAGACATCGTCTGACTCGGTGGCATTGGGAACGTTGAATGTTCCAGTGATGTGGTGGGGGAAGGTGGCGTTGGATCGGGTCGGGGTGTTGGATGCCCCTGCCACGCGAGACGGGCTCGCATGAGACTTGCCGGACTCGCCAGCTGCGCTTGGGCGTGGCGAAGAGGAGGTTGGAGTAGTCGACGGCCCTGCAATGGGTTCGCTATCAAAGCGCACCACGGTTAGTCTCCACAACCTAAGCGTTGCCACAGATCGACGCGTCGAAGCGGCAACTCACTCGGTGGCGGGGCTGCGGGATGTGTTTGTGGACATTATGTTGGAGTCGTGATTGTGATATGGATAGAGAGTAAAGTATCCCGGACTCGGCACAGGGTTGGCGGTGCGCGTGTGGGTTGCGGTTGTGAAGAGCAGAGCGGAAAGTGTTGTGGCCCCGTATTTCTACCCACGTGCGGAATCTGAACTTTAGCCCCAGGGCTTGCACTGTCAACGGGCGTAACGTGACCGCGTTGTGCGTTAGCCACAGCGTTCGGACGCGTCAGTCGTGAGTTCTCCTGATTTGGACATTCCCCGCCTCAGGAGTAGGGATTCAGAACATTGTGATTTCTACCGTCAGAAGGCAGGATTGGGAACATGGGGGCTGTGGCTGTGGCCTAAGGTCAGCCTTCTCGGTCTACTAACAAGTTTGGCTACTCACATGTAAAATCTTCCTCTACGCGCTTTGACCGGTGACACCAACACACATACTGGCTCAGTCGCGGTTCGTGGTCTACGACGCTGTGGCGAGCCTTGATGCATGATCATGATCGTCCCGAGACGCGGTCTCCTTCAGCCTGAAGGTACGAATAATACGCTCATTCCCTTGTTTGTGTTTTCAGTTTCTGCTTGTCAGCACCACTGTGCTAGAGACCATCTTGCGATTAATTACATCACATCACATACGACCTGGCCTTGTACGATCAAGGTGCATTGATTGGGTTACACTCGCTCTGAATGGCGCTGGTATTGATTGAACACTGATTATCTATTCTGCGAGCATATCAACGATGGTGGGCGACGTCGAAGCTATCGTTCATGCCGGTTGTCGGTGCAGCATCGGTGTAGCTGAACATAGACATAGCTCTCATCCGCAATCCACAAAGATACACCTCTGCTCCCCGGGTGCATCAGTGTCGCTTTCGCGTGCGATAGGATACGACTCACATGGGATCCGCGTAGGAAGACGCAACTGCGCAGACACAAGATCGGCGGCTCGCTGATGCCAATTGGCCACGCAAGGGACATTTTACAAGCGAGATTGGACGCTCATATATGTCTCCACTCATCAAACTCATCAAACGGCGGCGCCAGTGATGGTGTGCTTCTTGCCCATGCGAAAGTGTCATGCAAGGCTGTCGTCGACTCGACAGATGGCTCTGGATGAACGCGTGCCCGTCGGTAAGTACCGCTTACAGCGATTTCACTGTGTGGGATTGACAGTTTGGGGCGGGAACAGAAGGATAATGCAATCAGTAAGCGGCGAAGGCACTGATGGATCTTCATGAATAAGTACACTCGTCTGAGACTCAGGCGCCGCTCCCGGTGACTCAGGAACAGAGATCTGGTCGCAATCCGCGTCCTGGTGACAAATGCGGGATGGACAGCGGGCATAACATGAAACAAGGCCGCGACCGACACATCAACACGAATTTGCCAAAGGCGACCGACCGCTTGCTTCTACCACGCATGATGGGCATTGTCCATCTGCATCATGGCGTCCTGTTTAGCTTGGTTGCTGCAGCCCGAGGGCGACCGCGCCAGCGTCTCGCTCAGGGCGCCCGAATCGAAAGCGGTGCTATTGACAGACACCGCACCGCGTGTGCTTGTTGCCCCCTGCCAGCAGCGCATGAAGACGTAGGCGGTACCGCAGCAACGACACAAATTCATTGCAGGTCGTGCAAGGAGAGGGATGTGGTCGCAAAACACGGCGGGCGATGCCCACATGAGTGCGGCCAACGAGCGGGTAGTGACCGAGATGGAGGCGAGAGCGCGCGTGTCAGAGCAACGCGCGGGGGGCAGCACATGGGTGATCGTCCGGCTAGCAGCATGATGGCGCCCCGATCGCCATACATAAGGGACCACGGTGTCCTGCGAGCCCGCCTGAGCCTCCTCCACGTCCTGGGCTCGTTTCTGCTACCGTATCTCCCTTAATCCCAGGGCTCAGAGCCCCAGAACGACTCGACGCCATTCAATCGCTGGTCGATTGCACGTCCACAGGATATCCATACGCTCTCCCAACTCCATCTACGAAACACTCCTTACGACCCCAGTTTCACGACCACCATGCCCGCACGTCCCAACAAAACATCGCGCGAACACATCACAGAAGTCGCGATGGCCATCGCAGAGGAGGTCGCCGCGCTCAGTCGTGCGCGCCAGCCGATCGCCATCGATGAGGCCCTCATGCTCGCGAGCCTGGACCCCGGCGCCGTCGTCGAGCTGCACGCGTGGCTCCAGGCGCTCTACGACTGGCAAGACGAAAAGAGACTGCTGTTTGACGAGGAGATCACTGCCGAGGGGCTCGCTCGGGACATTGTGGACAGTAAACCAGACGTAGACGTGCCCCCGACGCCCGCGGTGCGCATCGAGTCGTGTGACCAACCGACGCGCAGCACGTCCTGCCCGCCAGCATCTCAGGCGAGCGAGGGTACGTTCCTCGACATCGGCATGGCGCCGTACGAGTCGTGGACGGGGAACAGGTCACGGAAAGCAAGGTGCGCCCGCTTTGCATGATCGCGAGTGCCCCTCTGACCGCGATTGGACTGACAGCGTGATCTACGGCCTGCTTGGTCTCGGCCTACTTGGGTCGCCGCTCTCGCCATCGCTACAGTCGCCCCGAAGTGCGGTCACCCTCACGTCCTCCTCGCTTGACCCGCGTGCGCCATCGTCGGCGTACACGCCCATCTTCTCACCGTGGCTCAAGGCGCTGCGTATCCCTGGCATCGAGCCCCTGCAGTCGCCATGGGTCCCGAACGCGCCGCACCGGAGCTCGGACGGCCTCTGGGCATTCCCGCAGTCGCCCCGCGACTACCCCTGTTAGTGGCTGCTCCGCCGCCTCGGACACACTGGTATGGACTCGCGAAATTCGGACACTTTCATGATGGACTCTGGGACTCACGCACGCGTATGTTATATCTTGTTGGACGTTCTCATCTGAGCCTTGGGTGGACCCGCCGAGTTGCGTTCACGCTCGTTCTACGATACGTTGTACGGAAACGTCACTAATACGAGCTTTTTGGTGTGGAGGCTCCAATAAAACCGCTGGTGAAGCGCTGCTTGCGACAAACAGGTAGAGGGTTTTCTTCAAAGGCTTGTACCTTATCTTCACCATCCATCAGCGACATCAGTGGTATCAATGCTGACCAAGTTGGAACGATGAGATTCACCCGGCAAACGGGAGAATGAAGACTGCTTTGACAAGAAGAGTTTCTCTTCCAAATGTGCTTACTTATCGTTTGTGCTGCACTGTGGGAGTCTAGCCTTGACCAAGTCTTGACCTATGGTCGGGAGAACCCCGCGTACATAGTCAATATATTGCTGTCTCTTGACGTCTGATCTAAAGCTCTTGCAAGACATCATCCTTTGTAAATTATGCAATCTCGACATCCTGTAAGTGCGTTTGGTTACGTGACTGCCTGATACAAACGCGTGACGTCACAGACTCACACGGGGAGCGCGCACGAATCGTCACGTTTCAATTCAGAGCCGCCAAAGTGGTCTGTCGTCGAGCATCTCGCCGCAAACCACGTACGACCGCCGTGGGTTCACAGCTATGTCGACAGCGGACGGCAAGGTGAACGGCCGCAGTGCACATGCACGTGCGATACTGGGTCCCGAGCTGTATGCCCGTCTCTCGGGGACCAAGGTGCTTCTGGTCGGGGCGGGAGGGATTGGCTGCGAGTTGCGTGAGTAGACAGACTTGTGCTAATAGGGATCGGAATCTCATCCGCTTGATTCTCTGCATGGCACCCCGCGCGACTGGGACCTGGATGATGTATGGTCACTTTTGGTGCTGCAGTGAAGAACATCGTTCTAACCGGCTTTGGGCATATCACACTCCTTGACTTGGACACCATCGACCTATCGAATCTCAATCGCCAGTTTCTGTTCCGAAAGAAGGACGTCAAGCAGAGCAAGGCGATGGTGTGTCTCACTGGGTGGCTCCCTTTGACCGCGTTCAACGTCCCCCCTTCAGGTTGCCGCACGAACGGCGGCGGCATTCAATCCAAATGTGAAGATCGCGCCCATACACGGAAATATCAAGGAGCCCCAGTTCGATATTGCGTGGTTCAGGAACTTCGACATCGTGCTGAACGCTCTGGATAACTTAGGTGTGTAGAAGCGTCTGTGGGCGACTTCCCGTGCTCAATTCCATTATTGAACTCATGTGGATGCGGGGTGTCCGCCTCAGATGCACGTCGGCATGTCAATAAGATGTGCATGGCGGCAAACGTACCTCTAGTCGAGTCGGGCACCGCAGGGTACCTTGGCCAGGTCCAGCCTATCATCAAGGTGCGTGCGCTCTCAGGATTCCATGATTTGCATATGGTATCAGTCTTACTCCTGAGTGTCATCTGATTCTGGTTCGTGCCTGGCCAGGATCGTGCTGAATGCTTCGACTGTATACCCAAGCCTACGCCAAAGACATTTCCTGTGTGCACCATCCGGTCGACGCCCTCCCAGCCGATTCACTGTATCGTCTGGGCGAAGAGTTACCTGATGCCGTATGTCCACATTTTTCTCCGACGCTCCTAACGCTCAGAGTCCGCCGTGGCACCCTTTTGTGCGCATACAGCCAGCTATTTGGCGAAGACGAGAATGCTGGCGGTGAGCTAGACGAGGCAGAAAAGCAAGGCGAGAACGGTAGGTTGCAGATTGCCCAGCGGCAGCCACGGGTAGCTGATTGTGTCCCCATAGCACAAGAGATCGCCACCCTCCGCAAAGAAGCACTCGCGTTCAAGGCGGTTCGTGCTGCCTTGCGCACGCCTCATGAAGACGGCTCATCCAGTGCGGCCAGGATAGTCTTCCAAAAGGTGGTTTTTCTTCCTTGAGTGCAGCTCCTCGCCTTTCATGACTTGGTGGAATGCTGATGATAGGCTATTAGGTCTTCCACTCGGACATCCTCAGCCTCTTGTCCATGGCGGACATGTGGCGGTCGCGTGCCCCGCCCACACCTTTGGACTTTGATGCCATCAAGGCCGGGACGTTCGCTGTCGAGAGGAAGGGTCAGGCGGAAGCCGCCACGAATGGCAATGGGAGCTCAAGTCGTCATGCAAACGGCGCGAAGTCCAACGGCTCCGATTCTCAAGCAAGCGGCAGCGCCAGTACAGAGAAAATGCTGAACGGAGTAGCGTCTTCGACTGGCTCTCATTCGTCTGCGGGGCTGAAAGACCAGCGAGCCCTCTCATTGCAAGATAACCTCGAGCTATTCGTATCCAGGCAAGTACTATGTGCACTGTTGCGGATGCTAGAGCAGAAAACTTGATGGTGGCGGCTCTCAGTGCTGAACGCCTGGCTGCTCGCTTGCGAGCAGGTGAAGACACAATATCGTTCGATAAGGACGATGATGATACTCTGGACTTCGTCACCGCCGCTTCGAACCTGCGCTCAATTGCGTATGGCATCCCAGGCAAGAGCCGGTGGGAGGTCAAGGGTACGTCGGCCTTCAACGATTGTTTACCTGCCGCTGACAAGCGCCGACAGAGATGGCGGGGAACATCATCCCCGCGATTGCCACGACAAATGCGATCATTGCAGGGCTAATCGTCTTGCAAGCGTTCCACCTGCTGCGCAAATCGTATAATGCGCTGCGCAACGTCCATGTACAGTTCAAACCTACTATGCCGCTCAGCGCGATCGGCATGAGCCAGCCGAATCCGAACTGCGGTGTTTGCAGGGACACGTACACGGAGATCCTGTGCGATCCGGCGCGTGTAACCCTCGGCGAGGTCGTCCATAGTATCTTGGGCGATGGCGGCGAGGCCGGGGGCACTGGCAAACGCGATGTCAGCGTGTATGAGGACAAGCGGGTGCTGAGCGATCCGGATTGGGACGATAACAACGAGCGGACGCTCGAAAGCCTCAACGTCACAAGAGGCAAGTTCTTGTCGATTGTGGATGACGAGGGCGAGTATGCGACGATTCAAGTCGGAATCGGCGTGCTGCCGTAAGTATTGCCTGCCCTTTTCTTAATAACAACTGAGCATCTCGAATTAGGCCAAACCATCTTATCGATAGTCCTGCCTTGATTTTACCCTCGCCATTACCCTCGCCACCCAAAAAGGCCAAGGCAGTGGCGCCGCGTCCTGTTACTCCACAGCCGACTGCCGTGAAACGGTCGGCACCCGACGACGACGACGACGTTGAGCCGGCCGCGAAACGAGTGAAGACGAATGGCGCTATGTCGAGTGGACTCATAACCACCCCGAGCAAGAAGAGGAAGTTGGAGGAAGACGGGCTCATCCTGCTAGAGGATGCCACCGAGAAGCTGGACGATGATGTTATAGTGATCGAATAATCCGAGGGATCGCTGCGTTGACTTGCCCTGTGCTATTGTACATTCACACTAAACCCGTTATTTTTATCTGCTGTCTCTTCGCTGTTTATCCTGAGCCACACATGCATCATCTATCTTGGACACGTATAGCAGCATATGCCTTCCCTTTTCATGTCTATTTAAGTTCATGCTGGCAATACAACCACATTGTTGTATAAAATGCGTGAGCCAATCTCCTATGTGGGCGGCTCAATCTCAAGATCTACATCGCTGCCATCCAAATCGACCGTAGCGGTCTGTACCACCGTCAAGTGAACAGCCCTACCGAACACTGCTGCCTCTTCCCTCTCTAGATCGTCATCGTCACTCAAGCCATAATACTCAATGGGTATATCGCGATGCGATTGCGAGGTACTTGAAGATGTGGGGGAAGTCTTAGAGGACGAATTCTCCGGACGATGAACGCATGATTTCTTCTTGCCCGGTCTTGGCCCCAATTGAATGTTTTTTCTCGAAGCTTGCAACGCTGCCAGAGCATCCAACTGAACGCGTCATGGGTTGAGCACCCGCCTCACAGGAGCTATGACTCGCAGAGAAGACATACCTTGCCTTGCACCTTAACATCGGCCGACCTCTTCCCATCCTTCACTGTCGGATCGAACCCAAGCTGCCGGATCAGCTGAGCAGAATACACGTTCTTGCGTGGCCTCTTCTCATCATCGTCGTTAACCTCATCCGCATCGCGCTCTCCATCCGACCCGTCCGACAGATCTTGGAGCTTCCGCTTCCCCTTTTTTCTGCTATCACCGCTCTTATCTGTCTTGACCGCCATTTGTTTACCATACGCCCGCGCAGTCATGAGCGCCCTCGTCCCCTCCTTGTCACTCTTGAGCAGCTTCTGCAATGCAAGGTCGGCATCCTTTGCCGAGATCTTCCGTGAAGCTTTCGCCTGCGCTTCACGCCCCATCGCTTCAGATACGAACAGAGACTTCGAGTCGTTGCTGCCTGAGACAATGTGCCCCGAGACGACATATGTCGCATGTCCCCCGCTATCGTCGGCAGGCTTGAGACCCCACTGTCGTGCTGCATCAAAGGCGGGCTTCCTCTTTTTGGCCACAGCCGACATGCCGGAGGTACTGTAAGAGGATCTCAGCTCGCGGCTGCAGATAAATCTGATACAGAGCAGCATACCCTGTAGAGAACTCGGCACGTCCGGCACGCTTTCTCTCAACGGCATGCTGGATGTGGTAGTCGCACACGTCGGAGACGCGCCGGTCACACCAGCTGCCACACGCCGAACCGTCCCTCTTGACTGCCTTGCACATACCAAGGTCTTGGGAGTAGCCGATGACGGCTATGGAGTTGACAGAATCTGGCGTGATGGCGAGGATGTTGTCCGTTGGATGTGGCGCATCTGCAGAGCGCTGTTACGGTCTTAGCATGAGACGCTACCGTTTAAGTGAGGAGCGTACCTGAAAGGGCTTGAGTATCCGCGGATTCAAGAACGCCACGACAGCACCCTCTCTGAGAACAGACATCTTCTCGAATGCCCCTCTACTTCCTCCCTTATATATCTTCTCCTTCCTGCCGTTCTCCTTCGTGACCAAATCATAGCGATCGGCCTCGAACAGCAGGAGCGAAAGCGACGCGTCGCCTCGTATGACGGCTTTGCCCCCTGTGGCAGACGACGAGCCCGAACGACAACCAAAGTCCACCAGCTTCATGTTGACGTACTTCTTGCCGCTTGGCTTCGGCGGATCCTCCTTTCGTGGCCGCTTTCCCTTTGCTGCTGTCACATCTTTCTTACCTGTCGCTGTCCCATCTAGTGGCAGCTGATCAATGGTACTCCCTTCCTCGTCGCCATCAAAAGTTTTATCCTCTCGCCCCAGTCCAACAGGAGCCTGGCTTTGCTTGACCTTGCTGCGCTCAGCGACAACAGCGATTGTTAGCCAGTCACCAGCTACTGGTACATCATAGCCTTGTTTGTTAGGCAAAAGACGGACCACAGAATAGAGTTTCGAAGGCGAGAGATAGTATCGGCCACGCAGGTATTCCTGGAAGTCCTCGTGAGGGGTAGAACGGGATCTGTCACTCTGTTGAGCCCATCTTGATGATACTGTAGATGAAATGTAGCACTCACGACAATCGAATGCCGGAGTTCGGCTCCAACTTCTCAAAGCGTGGATCATCGAACGGAGGCTTGTGTTCATAAGGGCCGGGAACCAAATCCTCCACGAGTGCCAGTCGATCGTCGCGAGGTAGTGCTTCTATGCTCGCGCCTTCCACAGGTACATTCGGGGCAGGCTTCTCTGCGAAGCCAGAGGAGCGCGTCGCTGTAACATCGACCGGTTGCGTCTTCAGTTTGGCATGTGCACTCGCTAGTTTCTGAAGCACGGTGGACGGAGCAGGCTTGCACGGCTGCACAGACGATAAAAGCTGTGGCGATGAAGAGTGGACAGCGGTATTGGGTTTAGGGCGCCGACTATCCTTCGCTCGAGGGGGATCGCGTGATAGCTTGCGTTTCTCTGGAGAGAAGGTATCAGTTTGAGGATGCATATGAAGCGTATGTTAATTACTTGGAGAAGGAGTGGAAGGAACTATCACTCCGGGCGTCGGCCTGCTCCTCTTAGGTGATGAAGGTGGTTCAAACGCAGCTTCGCTGGGATTGTTCAGTTGTGCCTGCAAAGCAGCAATCTGTCTTCGGATCTCGGCTTGGTTTTGTGCCTCACGCTCTCTCTTGCTTGAAGAAGACTCCATATGCCAAAGGAAAGCGTGCGGTACAGCTGCGGTGACGTTGGCAACAAGAGATGTAGATGCACACGAGCTAGACCGTTCGTAGCCGAGTCCGAGTGAACAGGAAGCAGATTTCCTCGAATGCTAAAGTAAATTTATTGGCGAGTGGAACAACAATCAAGATGAGCACAAGTTGGTCGCTCTAACGAAGTTTCGACGCGTCCTGCAACGCGTCGCTAAAGTGGTCAACAGGAGACGCGATCACGTGGTACAACAACGCGCGCCGCGGTGGCGGCGAGCCGCGGTGCAGCCGCTGACTTGCCGCCGACTCCTGACGGTCTGGCAACAATTCTCGACTCATTAAAACTCCATCTTTTCAAAAGCATGCTAGAGTTTTTGTAAAAGAATAGCCATGGGTTCTCCAAGAGTCCAGGTCGCGACAATCGGCTAAGCATGCCGCGTGCGTGGAGTCCCTGTTACTCTGTGCTTCGACTTCATGTCTGCACAGAATCGCAGCCTATGATCTGACTGTCATCAAAACGATAAGCATACCTTATTTATACAACCATATATTTACCAGTCTCTATTTTGCGACCGCATCTCGGTCCCTGAAACCTTGGAACGATAACAGGGCACAAAGCGGTCAGGACCCATGCAGTGGCGGCACGCCACGAGAAATCATGTCGGTGCGATATTCCAGAACAAGGACGGTGTCAAAGCAAGCCTGTATTCAACGCCACTATTCACAAAGTGGCTTATATACCCAATCGCCAAACCTCCTTGCATCATCTCCTTCGCCCGTCCCCTTCATCGATCGCTCTCGCTATGACCCGTGCTCCGCGGTCTGGAACCGCTGCAAGGAAGACAGAAAGTGTAAGTCTGCTCTTATCTAACAATCGCTCGTGAATGTTTCCCTGAACGTTGCTACCTTTCCGCATAGAGTCGCCTTGAAGGGTCGGTACTTGATGCCCAAGTTCGGATGGTGTCAGCCTTCGGCCGTAACGCTGCCAAGTATATGACCTGCTCAACGACAGAGACAGGTTGCGGCGTGCGTATTCTATGGCACGATAACGAGGTCCCTGCGGAACACTCTGCGACGCGCCTCCTGGACGCAGCTGAGCCTGTCCCGGCTCCTCCTAGACGCACACAGCGGCTTCAGCGGGTGAATGCTAACCGGCCTCGCGAGCGCGTGATCCCCGACATCATCCATATACAGCCTGAGGAGCCTGTGGAGACTGTGAACGCTGCAGGGAGAATTCTGACCAAGGATGAGCTAGAAGATGACCGGGTTTTTCGGAAATATTGGATGCAAGCACAACGACAGAAACTGCACGTGCAGGCACAGTGGCGACGCGTTTTCAAGTACAATTACCGACACCGTCCCTTAACTCCGCTTTTTGTGGGCCCCGAGTTCTATGATCCTCCCCGACCAGCGGTCCGGCAACCGCTGGGCGACCTGCCGGTATGTCCTCCAGGTGAGATGTCCATTGGGCGGCAATCGCAATTAGAGGATCTAACGCTTGATCAGAGCTGACGAAGGATGCTGATTTTGATGAACAATCTGCTCAAGGTAATCGAGAACGATCATCGGTGGAAAGTGTCACAACCTAACGGTCCATCGATAAACAGCACGACAAGAAACCTTTTCCTAAATCATGGCATTCGTCCACTAACTGATGGGATATATCGCTGACTGCCGAGGCTATTTGATGCCCGCTTGGGTATGGTGAACGTTGTCAACTACAGGCTCTGGATGAGTCTTTTATGGTACTTTGAAGATAGAAAGACTAGTGATTTATTGAAGTCCCGTTTCGTGGAATGGTCCCTGACACTGCGGACGACGTACGTCAATCCAAGGCCTGTGAATCGAAGCGCATTGATTGAGAGGAGTAAGCAGATCGTATGAATGGAAGAGAAACGCAAATACACCCGTTGAGCGTTCTCATTGCGCTCGGAAAATTTGCTAGCATCGGAACATCGTCGAAAGCAATCAACAGATTGGCAACGCCGCCCAGATGTCTATCACCAAGTCACCAGCACCGGCGGGGTCATACACTTCATGTAATAATACATGGTCTATTCAGTCGATGGAGTAACGTGCACAATTGGCATAGGCGGGAGTTGCGATCTACAATATTTTGACTCTTATTAGCTCAATTCGTCAGCTTTCACCCTCCTTTAGAAGTCTTCCTTCTCGTCCTTTATACTGCTTGCCTCGGCCGCCTTCTGCCCCTCTTCCGCGACTATAATATTTCTGATTGGTCCCTGGAACCAATGCACACCTCCATAGACGGGGAAGTAGTAGTATACCAGGCAGAGAGTGATCCAGCCGCCAAGCACGACAGAAGTGTAATTCATGGTGGGGCCGCTCGGGTCCGGGAGGCTGGGGAAGACAACGATAACGATGCCAAAAATCATCCAGATCACGGCTACGGTGGCTACCGGCAGACCCTACGACGACATCAAAGAAGCCTTGGTGAGAGGGCGTCAGACGTTCCCAGGAGTAAAAGTAGCTTACGAACTTGCCGAGGCTGAACGGGCCCGGTCTCCATTCCGTTCCACCGGTGAATCTGCTGACGATCGGGATGGTATACGATATATATGCACCTACGACCCCGAGGCTGAAAATGGCCGAGACGGCGCTGGGGCCAGCGAACGCAAGGAGTCCAAGGAGGAATGAGATGAATGCTGAGAAGCATGCGCAGTTTACTGGCGTTTGCGTGCGTGTATTGATACGGTAGAGAACGTGCGAGAACACGAGGCCGCCGTCCCGTGCGAATGCGAATGTCTGTCGGGAACTGACCAACAACTGAATGAAGGTCGAAGTCAGCAATCGACACGTGAGAAAAGGATGCATACTCACACAGCTTGCACCTACAAAGAACCTGGTTTGTAAGAGATTTTAGTGACATTGCGTAAAGGAATTGTGACGTATTGAGAGCTCACTGGACCGAGAAAACGATGACCCAGATGACAAGGGTCCCCTTCTGTCCCAGACTATTGAATAGGATCTAGAACGAGTAGGCATCAGCAAAAATCCTCTAATGGAGTCCAGAATGCGTTTATTGTGTCAGAGGCCGAGGGTACAGTTGTTTGCCACAATCATAAGTTTGGTTCGATTACGCATTACTTACTGCTGCCATCGGCTGCCCAATGGGGCTATTCATGATACCTTCGATGTCCGTTCCCATTTGAAACGCGATCGTGATATTGATTGCTGTGCAAGCGAACAGTCAGTGTTCCATATGTAATTCAAACTTGCAAAGCACCAACCCCATCCAATGATCGCAGCAGAAATCGTGCCTGCAATCAACGCTGTAGGTACTGAGACCTTCGCGTTAGAGGCTTCCTCACTGAGGTGGAGCGATGTGTCGAATCCGCCTATATCGGAAGGTCAGAACGAGACTAAATCTCAGCTGGACACGTACAGACAGTCCACAGGGGCGCCAAGAAACTTAATAAAAAAGCGAACCCGTCTGGCCAGCTGCCCACTAGTAGAGAGATGTCAGGGATGGAAATATGTAACACGACCAACGTGCGTACAATTCGTAAATCCTCCGAACGCATAACTAGCCGGGTTCTTAAATTCTTGTGGTGTCGCAACGGGTAGAAGAATGATGATAGCGAGACATAGCCTGTAGCATAGATCAGGTTCCGAACGTAGAAGAAACGGTGTTGGCGCACAGGACGTTCATGAGAGCATAGACAAACTGCAGTTTCGCGACAACCGAAGTGGCTAGCGACGAGATGGCAGCATGCAGCAACAATATAACGACATAAACACCACTGTTGCGACGTGTCAGCGGGCACAATGAGAAAAGATATTCCGAGATGAACACCTGGGTGCGGTCTCGTACTCACAACGTCTGACTTGTGGTCGCAGTGAAGGTCTGATTGGAACCTATGCTTACTGCAGCCTGATGAAGTACAACGATCACTAAGCCACGGCATTCCATAGCGCCGAGTAAAGGCGTCTGGCGGTCCTGACACAAACGTACCATCAGCTCGACCGCGCATCCCCAATCAGTGCTCGCGACACCGGCGATCAACCCAATCGTGTTCGAATCTGTGCCGCACGACAAATCAGCGCGCAGGAACGCGACTACTAACGCAACAGGAACGTACATCCGACAACCCATGAGAGAAGACGCCGCCAGCGCGGGGAGCTATACTTGAACGACCAATAGTACAGGCCGCCGGACGTGGGTGCCGCAGAGCCCAGTTCCGCGAGTGCGAGCGTGACGAAGATGAGGAAGACGCAGCACACTCCCCACTGGCATATATCTCAATGAGTATCAACTACGAGTGACTAAGAGCAACTTACACCCCACACCAGTGCAACTGGACCGCCGTTTGGCAAAGCGTAGGTTAAAACGGAACTAGAAGGCATAGTGTAAAACTTGATCTTGTGACAGTGAGACTGACATACGTGATTGAGGGGAAGAGCCCGAATATACCGAAAACCAGGCAGAAGAGCTCGAGAGGCGAAAAAGCGCGCTTGAGTTCTTGCTTGTAGCCGAGGCGTGCTAACTCTATGGCATCTGCGCTATCCTGGTCGATGTAAGCTCTAGGGGGCAGCATTAGTTACTATGCAGCCACATCTCAACGGAGGACTCGCTTGCTGGTCTTTGCCATGGTGGTATTCCCAGAATTGAAGTTAGGCCGGACGAATGTACTTGCATTAGGGAGACGTGGCGTACTTATCGTGGCGCAGAAATTCACTTGCCGTAAACGCTAGGTCAGGAGGCAAGCTATCTCTGCACTTCCTTATCATAGGTGCATCAATGTTGTGTCTTCCCTCCCGAAGCTGAAATTGGCGCACGACTCCGGTATACACAGAGACAGTGGTTGCGAGAAGAGCACGGTAGTAAGTACAGTGAGATGCACACATGTTCTATCAAGATCAGCTCGCGATGAGAAGATGGTCCTTACCTTCAGAGATGTGCAAGATGTAAAGCTTCAAGCACTACAAATCAGCCATTTGTAATTGAAGCGGGAATAGAGCGTACAATGGAGCTTGGATTGTGTCCATCTGTCAAGTTTCGAAGCTTAACTTAGTGTACCCTGATCTCGAGGTGATTCTTCTAGTTCCGTGGAAGCTGAGAAGGAATGAAAAGGAGGGCTGACACAGACAGGTCTTGTGGATTACTGCCCAGGATTTGATATGCAAAACCGGGGCAGGGGTTCCTTCAACGGGTAAGTCGAGATATTCAAGCTGCGTTGCAGCACGGATCGCACGCTGTCGCCGCAAGAATTATCGCATGCAACACGTCCGTTAAGACACACAGCACCAGGGCATAGTCCTTTGCGGTGTGAGGAGTTAGCAGCAAAGGTCCTATGTGCACCTAAGCTGCGAGATCGAAGCTCGCATTGAGGCTGTAATGTCACTGGCAGCGTTGAGCGAGCGCCGAAAAGTTCGCGATACGTCACGAGACTCAGCCAATCAGCGTTGAGGCCATCGGTACGTCTCGATTCTCGAAGTTGTCTTGAGCGTGACTACCATTCTGACGGCCTTGAATAGTTCATTCAATAGGCGCGTTCAGAATTTCCGCTCCATTCTGTCAGGAACAGATTCAAGAAGCAAGGCGGCCGGGAAGAGCGACAAGGATTCCATTTCTCCTTAACAGCGATATGATGGGCGCTTCAAATTTCCAGCACAATCTCAGTGGCAATTCTGATCGCACGTAGAGATGAGTAATATGACCTGCGTTGACGGGAGCCCGTCACGCGTCGATCACATGTATCCACGAACACACTCGCGGGCTTAACTTCTAGGCAACCCAGTGTAGGCTTTCCGCGGCACATACGTGCTTTCTGCGTTGTTCCCGGTCTTGAAAGCTTCGAATCCATGGATTATTACAAGCTGCACAGATATCCGATCAAATACAGACTATCTATGACCTGCTGTCGAACCGTATGCGTTACTGTAGCTCCGCTGGCATGGTGGCCACTCCTGACAGCGCTTGCCTTTACCGGTCTCTCTGCCTCTCGTGGATAATCTACCAAGAGTAGAATCCATCCCATTCATCAATAGTACCATAATTCTAGCGCAAGCGGTGGGCGTCTCGTGTCCCACTTACACTCCCCTCAGATACTCGCCCATTGTTCACTCGTGCTTTATGTCTTATCACGTAAACACAATTGAATCTTCAACGGACATCTCCCAAAGTGCTTGTACAGCAAGACAGAGACGGGAATAAAAGGCCCTTGGGTTGACGATCGGGTCAATATCTGCACGCAGGCCCTGTTATTGAACGATTAAGTTTCATCCTGCAAAAAGCTAAAGTCATTGGCAAGTATTTCTCATTCTATAATTGCCATTCTGTATTTGACCTTTGCTACTGTCCCTCTGTCTCAGGTCCTCTTTTCCGAAGCTTTGCACACGGCTGAACACCTCATAACAACAATCAATCAGCTCAAACACAGGGTAAGGTCTCTAACACACACGAATCATGTTCGCCTACAATCCGCATTAGTTCATAGCTGATAGCTGGCGCAGTCACGCAGGAAGCACTAAACAACTGCGCCGCCATACTCCTACACATAGTGCCACAGAGTTGGATGGCGTTGTCGACGATGCGACTGTTGCGCGCATCACGAATCAGTTCAGGTGCGGGACGCTACACACACATGAGGAGTCGTCTATGGCAATTGACTGCAGAGACATCTTGCCACATCAATGACGCATCCATGATGTCTCTTCCGGGCATAGAAGACCTCACGGAGCTTTCCCTTTCCTCGGCCAATCAACTGAGAACCCCACCAAGCAGTCAAGGATTCATCACGTTGACAAGCCTTTGCTTGACGTTCCGCAGCAGTTCTGTGGTGGTGTTCTCTCATCTATACTCTTGCCGAGAAATCGCGTCCTCCAGCGCCCTTGAGCGATATACCCCTCATGCAACCCATCAATTTTGCTCCTTCTGCGAGGCGCAGGACGAAGCGTCGGCGGACTGATGGCCCATCCACGAGCGATGCGCCTTCATCCAAGCGGACCAAGAAGGGAAAGGGGCGTGCCGCAGCCCCAGCACGGAATACACTGCGCGACAGAGCGGACGAGAACATTGCCGATGGAACCACCCCTTCGTCGGACGAAGGCGCGGTAGCATCACCGAATGCAAATAGTCGTCCAGTCTTGGCTGTGGAGGAGTCCGAGCCTCAGGTCCCTTATCAATGCGGAGTCCCCGGTTGCACCATGAGAATTGGACTGGGCAGAGAGGCACCCAGCACTCATATCGAGAAGCACCACGAGATGGCGGCAGAGGTGTCAGCGGGTCAACTGGGTCGCCACATTCGAGCGGCCCATGGCCCTTTGACCATCTGGAGGTGCCCACGATGCAGGATGAAGTTTCAATGGTACTACCGTAAAGACACGGTAGGGCGGCATGCGGAGAAGTGCAAGTGAGTGTATTGTTCCCATGTATTGTATTATTGCTCATCCTTTGTCTGCTTTGCGTTATATAGGGGAGCCAAGGAGGGCCCAGAGTCAAATGTTTTCGGCCAGCCTCTACCTCGCACGGATAGTGTTACCGCTCCAGCGACCGCCGAGCCGTCACCATCGGCGAGCATCTCAAGTGAACGGCCGCCATCTGCAGGCCCTTCAACCGCATCAACGGTGTCTTCGGTGTCGCCATCTACCTCGTCGTAGAGCATTACGGACGTTGAGCAAAGAACACCGGACCCGTTGCGTGTGGTCGCGACCTCACCGAGTCTCACAGCCGTGTCGCTTCATGTCAGCGAGAACATACCGACCTCAGGAATCTCTTCCGTGGCGGAATCTGCTGAGGCCACCATCGAGACATTGGTGTCTACATCGGCTATGACGACGCCGAGCACATCCTCACCAGGCAGGGAATCGGTTGGCTCTCAGCAGTGCGTTTCTCCGCAACCATCGCCACGTCTCCTAGGCGTGGACATGCTGGGTACTGTATCTCTTGGAACGGCACGGCCAATATCACCGACGATCGTACTTTCCTTTTGGCTGACGCACAGGCGTCTACTGCGGTTGAAGCTCGAGGTGCCCACGATGTAAAGCCAAATTCCAGTGGTACCACCGTAAAGACACGGTAGTGCGTCGTGCGGGGAAGCTCAAGTAAGTGCACGACTCCCGCGCAATAAATGTAAGCCCACTGGTTACTCCTGAGAATTGCTTCGATCAGGGGCCTGGCTCGTCTACACGCGCAGGCCCTTCTCCCAGGGTAGATTCTCCCAAACATATAGACGGCCCCTATGACGAAGGTCGAGCGCGGTCGTCAACGGTTGACCTCCTGTTCCCGTCGACAATTGCGCCCGACTCCGAGTCGCTGCCTCACAATCCTCGGCGAACTGGCGCTACTACCACGCGTTCAGCGAGGACTGATCCTACCTACGGCGCTGATGCGCCATTATACCCAGGGTAAGCATCCGTGGCTACCGACATCTACTGTTCCATTAATCAGTGATGATGCTCGTTTTTCAGGATTATCACCAACGCGTTACCTTGGCCAACGCGGCTCCGGCTCCGCAGACCACAGGCCCCTAAGTCCTTCGGAGCACAATTCGACATTGCTCCCATTTTGCCCCGCGCTCCTCGCAGAGGTGCACCTTTTCGGTGTGAAACATCCTCCGCCACCTGCGGCACAAACAGTGGGATGTCGAGGCGAACGCGAGGCACAGATACCTGCTAATGTTGGCTTCATCCATACTCGACCAGCTGGAAGGTACCGAGTTGCTACATAGTGACAAACTACACCCACTTTCATTAGAATCGGAAAGCAGCACTGTTCTGGGAGCAACGATACAACGATTGAGTTGTTTCCCGATTCCGATTCGCAATAGCATATATTACTGTCATGTACATGGAATCTAGATTGGCATGATGCGGGCGCTTATTGCATAGGCCGTTACGCATACTTGGCAGAGGTCACCTGTTATGTCACTTTATGTCACCCACCGAGTACGGATGAGGCAAATCTGAGCTGTTGAAGTACAGGCCTGTCGCTCGTCGCTATCTCTACTTCAGTGTCTGCCCCTGCGGTCTCTTATCATGCGAACGTAATACCGATTTCTTGCGTCCTCAAAATCCGCACCTGAAGTCCGCCCTTCTGAAGCAATCTTAAACTTCGCTCTCGCAAACTCTCGTTGGACACTGTACCTGTGCATCATGAGTTGCTATTGCACACCGTACCCTTACCACTTCGACACTAAGTGCCGTATCTTGTCTTCATAGCACCACGGCAATAGCTTTCATCCTCTCCACCTTCTCCGCATATTGACCAATGAGGAGGTAGACCAGTGACGCTTGGAGCAGGGCGGAGAAGAGGAAACAAAATGCCTCACGGAAGGAAACCTCAGTGAAGATGCGCTTTGAATGGATGGAGGATGTTGCTTCATCGTCGACCCCTTTCTAAATACGCAACTCATGCACCTCATACTGCCGTTCAGAGCTAGGACACCTTTCTCTGGTATTCCGTAGGAAGCCGTTTGGCAAGAGCACAGGGCAGCTGTCTCCGTGAGCGTCGAATCGAACGCAAACGGAATGTATGTGTACGTTCACCAAAGCCAGTAGACCAAACGAGGTACGTCGCCGACCCAAGTACCAATCATGAATGCCCTTATCCACCGAAAGCAAAATGCAGGTCTTGAGTCGTTCAGAATGTTGCCACATGAAGCTAGAAGCTAGTCTGGCGTAATGTGTCTGAACATCGACTCCGGTGCATATGACGGTGTTCGACTTGTTTGACTCAACTCGAAATCTAGTCGGAGGATCTTTGAGGCCCGGACTCGGAAACGTGATGATTCCTCCGTAAGTCATATTGATCGTTTACATTCACGTGTTGATGTACAACACTTGGAAAGACATAATTAGTAACAGAAGGTTCAGCGGAAATTATATGGCGTGACATAGACCCCGCCGCCATATCACGTCTCTTGATAGGAAGCCCCCAGATGCGCGGTTATATCTATATCGAATACCCGTCTCTCTCGTCATGGCCTCCTCTGACGGATCTGGAAGTATTAATGCCAGATCGGACGCTCCCGCTGATGCGCTGAAGTTTGTACCGGTAGCCACGAGGCTTCATGAGCGAGGACTGCGGTGGCGCCCTTGGCGTCCCACATCTGAGCCGTATGGTACAGTGAATAACGGAGAAGCATCATTACCAGTTGCCAACACGCCTATCAAGCCATGTATCAAAATATTCCACGGACATGATGTACGGCCCCCTCAGTTATCAGATATCGACATCGACAATGATCCTTCTCAGATTCTTGCATAGATCATCGACGTGCGGTCATCCCTTCCTGCTTATGCCCTGACTTTGTTCCAGCCCTGCGGTTTCGTCAGACAATATCATGCTTCTTATACCCGTGGCGACATCTCTGCCCAAACCTTTACGCATGTTTTCCTATTCTGTCAAACGAGCTGCAGAGCTGCATTTAAGCTGCGGGATGCTGTTGTCATTTATGGGCTGCTGCGATGACAGAGGCCATCTTGATGGACACCTGGTGGGAAATAGCGTGTCCTCCACGATAAGACATGATGGGTCGTCCTAGCCTATTCTCGCCGGTGCAAGTAGTGTTCGACATGTTGACTGACTTCGCGAAATAGGAAGCGTCGGCCCGTAGATACGACACCATCAGGTCGGATTCCGGGTCACTTTCACAGTCGCGATTGCACAGCATATCATGCCCGATGAGCCCTGTCACTGTCCCCATCAGAGATATCTAGATCAGATCGTTCTCATACCGCGAGTGCAAGAAAGTGAACATTATTCACCCAATTGACATGCGCAAAGTTCATCTCTAAAACCGTCTCTGGCCTCATTAAGGCTCAGCAAGCTCATATTTGAACGGTGAGAGATTTTATTCGAATTACTTGCGGGTGTCATATGGTCACGCGAGAATGTCTCTGCCTCCGAGAAGTCGGTCGGAAGCTAGTCGGTAACCAACCAATGGAGCTATACTCCCGAACTTCTGAAGTAAGTAGCCATATTAGCCTCTCTCTTGCCTACAAGCGCCTATCTCAATGTCGTGCCCGCAGGCCGAAAGCGTGCCTCATGATCAGAACTTCGGTGCTTGGCGGTCAAAACCAAATCGGCCTTTGAGTAATTGAGGCCAACATTCCGTTCAGCGGACTTCTCCGAGAATGCGCCTCGGGCAGCGTGGCGTGAGAGGACAGAGATCGCTCTCCAGGCGCTGTACTAGCTACATTCCCATGCGTTCTGCTGTAGTCTGGAGAAGCGCATCTTCGCGTGTCCGACTGCACACGAGCGATCGCATCCGTGTGTATTCCAGCAGACTGGATTCTTCAGCATGTGAAGAATACATCTTGTGCGATCCCGCTTATGAGAGCGGTTGCGAGGACAAGGACCGTGCCTTCCTTCACCCCACTTGCCCAATTCCATGAGGGTCTAGTCATGGACGCCGTGTCGCTGCTGTCTGCCGATCTTGCTGCAATATGCATCGAGAGCTTGTTCTACGGGATCTTTCTGGTTCTGTCCATTGCATCACTCTACATCCTGACGCGACGCGGGAGGGAAACATCGGATCCCCGGATAGGTGGTACCACACTGTGGAGCATGATAACCCCAATGTCGCTGGCAGCTGTGAGCTTATTCATGACGAACATGGCGGTGAGTGCGATATTCGTCTACACGCGCCCTGCCGTGTTGTTGAGCTTACGGACTTTGTCACTAGCACTGGATTATCAACGTATATCGCATATTCCAGGCATTCGTCATTCTTGATGATGAGACGAAACGCCTTGAGTTCATTGGCGATCTCCCGCAACCCTCTGAAGTTTGCAAGCTTTCTGTCCTCATGGCATCGCTGATCATTGGTGACATGATGCTGGTCAGTGTCTATTCATCTAGTTTCTTCGAGGAGCCTCATGAGGTCACAGGTGTATCGGCTATGGGTTGTATGGGCGTATAACAAAGTTGTGACATTTCCCCCACTGTGTAGCTTATTGGGCTTGATCGGTAAGCCCCATTCCAAGTGCTTGTTCGAATGCAGTCGTAACCTATGCCGATGATAGTGTGTGCAATCGGAGCTCTCTATGAGATCTCACGGGCATACGAAGGAGAGTCTCTCTTTGCGTCTGCGCCTGGCGATTGGATCACAGCGAACTGCGTGTTCACACTCTGGTAGGTTGGACGACTGTGCTCTGACGTTGAAGTACTTGCTCACGTTGCAACAGTACAAACGTGTACAGTACTGGTAAGGTTGATAGCATACAGAAGCGAATAACAGCTTACGTGACACTGAATGGCGCTAGGATTCATAGCCTGGAGGATCTGGCGTGCCAACAAAGAGGCAAGACGTTTCGGCGGAGTCAATCTGATGGTAAGTTGTCGATATACCATATATTGCCGTCTCATCACTGGCCAACAAACAGGGTGTGTTGGGTATTCTCGTCGAAAGCGCCGCTCTTTATACGTAGGGATCTATATCTCATCGCTGAAAAATGCATGGCCTAATCTTCCTCACAGCGCTTGGACCATTCTGTTCTTCGTCACCTTCCTCCTTCAATCCAACCTCGCGTTCTTCTTCAGCGACACATACTCTGCTATAGCCGGCATCGCATTCATGCTTATCAACGTTCGGGTGGGCATGGGTTGGGCGCCGCGAGCAACCATACGCTCTGCGCTCTCATCTAGCATCGGGCCCTTCTCCCCGGGAGCGAATGGGCCATATAGCATGGGACGTCTCACGGTCAACGTTACCAAGGTCATACATCGCGATGATGGCATTGACCCACCTATCAAGTTTGCTTCAAACAGTAATCTCGAGCTTCCTGGACCGAGGGTACAGGGTTCAGCGGCATAGGTGTCGGGAGTTTATTGTTCACGTACCGTTCGTAGATAGCATGTCAGACTTGTCCTAATACGTGATATGGAACGGATAGATTCGCTCGTTACCCTATCATAACGTGGCTCTGCACGTACTGTAGACAAGGCATTCTTGGATCGCCTTTGTCCCCGATGATCACGACATGATTTGGGCCCAAAGGCGAGCTAAACTATGTTTCAACTGTCATTGCAGGATGTAAGTTCATGCAGTGAGACAGATAGAAAGACTTTACAACAGGCGAGAAACCGGCGAGGACGAGGATGTCGGAGTATTTCATGTAAGTCAAAGGTTCTAGTATTACAGATCATACGGTTCGACGGTGTTGACGGTATGCGCCTTGGTACCGCTTCATCTTTCGATTTCAGCTAGACTACTTGCATGTACCACACGGATCAGAGTACATCGCATCATTCTGCCAGACGATATAGGTACATGGATATCAGCTCTAATCACCACACTTCGCTTATATCAGAACGATGTGTTGAACACCGCAATCGTACTATGATCAAACTCAGCCGTTTAAACCGATAACCACCCAAATAATGACCAAACTTGCATGGTTGTAAGACCGATGGCGACAGCTGGGCCAGACCTCCTGAGTCTTCTACGGCAGAAGGGGGCGTTTCTTTATCCTAACCAGGACACCGAGCACGAATCGACGTCCTGTATGAGTTTTACTTACAATAGCTCCAGGTATTGATCGCTTGCGGTTGCCTGCAGTAGAGGTCAGCATCCGCTCTCGGATCCACGATACCGTATATAGGATGGCTGAACACGTATAATAAAACGAAAGCAATATTGTTTGGAGAGTTCAGAGTGTCGGAGGAAGACCACAAGGGTCCGGAGGGAAGGAAGGTATAGAGCAGGCACGTATTAAGTAGCGCCGGCAGCCTCTCCTGATGAATCTGTGATCGGAATGCAAACGAGCGCCTCTGCACTTATCCGAACCGTACGCCTTGCACCTCATCAACTCATAGTTCTGGGACGATGCAAGTTGAGTCGGTTGTCGTCCACGCGCAGTCCTTCGTCCTTGCAAGACTCTTGACTCAGCGTTCGGCATATTGGACGTCGTGGCACGGATACCACAGGGCAGCCCTTCTATCGGCCCAGCCATTTGTGGCGTTGCGCGTCCGCTTCACAGAATTCGGATGCGACAATGTGCATCTGTTCATAGTATCGCCCAAAAAGCGCACTAGCGGCCTATATGCTGATTGCGACCTACCTCTAGCTCCGCAACCAGGCAACGCTCGACTTAATGATGCACTGCGTGCATCGCCCCCTCTACCAACCTCGACACGACAGTTGTACCTCCATACATTTCCGGCCTTGAAGACTCAGAGGGGCATCGGAGGCATGCTGCAAGACGAGGAAGGCGACAAATTCAAGCTTGAGGAACCGAGTTTCCAGAGGTTCTGGTCAAAGGCGTGGAGCGAAGCAATGAGGTTTAGAAAGAAGGAGTGGGGATATGAGACGATGAAGCCACGAAGCTCTGGTGGAGACGAAGTTGTTCAAGACAACTGGTTTACATTCAGTAAGGATAGGAATGACGTAGAGCACCTGCGTGACCCCTTTGGCCGATGTGTTTTTGAGCGTATGGAGTTCAAAGATCTCCCGCTTACAGAGGAGCCATCGATCTACCGAGAGCTAGCGATATATGATCAGTATGTGATAGATCTCACGAGCTTGTGCTGAACGCTGATGATGCCCTGCTAGGCTCGCGGCTGACTACTCGTGGAGGGGCGTCAAACGATCAATTTACTGGGTCGAGGCTATGCGAAATGTATGCACTTTTCGCTCAGTAATGTTTGCGTGGTCTTACGTATGTCAGTTTGCCAATGAAAGGTCGTTTGTCGAGCAGCCGGTGCACCCGGTAGACCATGCGGAACTGTGCTCAGGGGAGCTCCCGTCGTTCTCTGGTGACTTGAAGGAGGATGCAGTAGCATTGCGTGCAATGCAAATCCCCGTTGATGGGGAGCCTCCTCCTGCATCTGCAGCGGAAGAGGTCGTGGAAGTCAGCTGGGGAGACGAACCCGGGCCGGATTTCTCATCGGCACCTGAGGCTCTCCCGCCTGTAGTCGCAAGCGATATTAAGGTTGTTGTTTTCGATATGTACGGAGCGATAATGGTAAGTTGCGAGGCTGTCCGTAGGGATATTATCTCATCATTGCTCATCTAGGACCGTCAAGAGGCTCTGCGCCGTGCTCTGAGCACATTTATCTCTTTGAACCCCCATCAGCATACTATAGACGACCTATCGAGACTATACCTCGATGTTGAAGCCCATCGCATACGCGAAATGCCTGGTACCTCTGACGATGATTTGGTGCGTGGGACCCTTAGCGATATTCTGCACGTCATCGGCCTGCATCCTGCAGGAGACATGGTGCAGCGTGCCCTCGATGCCATACGCCCAGCTCCCTACGCCGATGTCCCCGACGCCTTGAGGACACTGCAGCAGCGTGGCTATAAGCTGCTGTGTCTTGTTTCTCGCGATGCGTCTTACGTCTCGGACACTAGGTCCTTTCTTCCTCCTGAAGTCCGCACACTCTGTGTCTCAGCAGCTCACCTACATACTCAAACGGAAGATATATGCTCTCAAGTGGTCGAAGAATGCCAGTCAATTCTCCCGGAGATCAAGAACGCTGAGATTCTCCTTGTCACAACCGGGCTATACAGGATCGTTGAGCTTGCGAGTGCAGCTGGAATACCGACCGCACTGGTCCAGCGGCCGAGTGTAGACGAAGCTCGGCTCGAGTATGCGACGGGGCAAGACGAACTATCGTCGCCTACGATGACCATTGGAGGACTGGGAGAGCTGTGCGATAAGCTGGAGCTGATGCGCTCAAGGAGTCTTGGTCACGGTGAGGCTTGATGAGTTTTGTTTCTTATGTTATATTGCTGTCGTTGCATTGTTATCACTTGTTTCCATGGACAGACCTGACTATATCACCACTCAAACCCCTGTTTGCCAGACTGTTAACGCCCTGCATGGGGAAGAACACTGTGACCTGGGGTTTCATGTCCTGCGCTGTGTGCGACAAAACGCTAACTGTTCTAAAATACTCGCCCCAATGGAGTGCACTTTGTGCACATGTTGTTGATATAACTAATCGACGGTTGACGAGAAGTGTTCGCGGAACGGTGACTGGTATACGTTGAAATTGACTGCTAGTGCCACCCGTGTTACAGAATCAAGGCCACTATGAGGAAGAGAATATAGTACTAGCGTGAGTAGATAATGTCATCCGGGATCGCAAATCGGTCAAATCAGATAAGCTTCCTGCCCGGGCCAAACCGCCCTGATGCCCGCCCCGGCACTCGTTTTGGTCCGCCCCGGTCAGTGATCCGGTCCCTAGCTGCCGGAGATCCTGTCCCGCCTGCCGCACAATCCTGTCACGAGTAAAGTGCACTCCTGTCCACATATTTAAGAACAGCTCACCCCCTTCATCAAATATTACGCCTGTTGGACTATTCAAATCCTCCAAATAACCCCTACATATTAAAAATACTACATGTAGTACTTCGCATCCCATACCACACGTCCAATCTCGCTCGGTGTCCTCTCGGGCGAACACCAGTGAGGCCAATGCGCGTGAGAACCGGCGACTGTCGCCGATTAGTCAGGTCTAAGAACCATTTATAGAAGTCTAAGTGGGGCGCCCGCCGTAGCTACCCTTGATATCAAATGTGCAGCCTCACCCGCGGTTTGACATTTGATTGGGTGGACATTGAGAAATAGAATAAATGTATTATTGCTTCGAGTGTACGCTAGCAGACCCTTCAGGGGTGCTTGTATTACATAATCACCACTTCGAGCGCATTTTGAGCGCGCGTTAAGCTGAAAGTTCACTGAGGCTGACTAGCTAAGGAAACACGATAGAACTTGCTGAATGCATTTTTCATAGGCTCTGTAGAGGCCCCAAATTCAGTGGTCGGATGTTCAAAACAATCCATGGCGAGGGAGGGCTGTTTCTAATTGTGTGGACCGGTGTGCAACCTTGATTTGACAGATGCGGTAGGTGAAATGACCGGATTGCATAATCGGATGACATTATCTATTTTCGCATAGTACTAAAGAGAGACGATGTTCCGAGTCACGTCCGACAAAAGCGCAGAGTTTGTCCGATCAATCCATGATCGCAACCAGCCGGCCCGGCGCTCTGGCGTTGGATCGTACGCGTTCGTTTCTTCATTGTGGTACTACAATAGTACTTGCTACATGCACGCTTCCAGTTGACGATGCTAGCTGAGCCAGCTGTTGTTCAGGCACAGTCCTTTGTCCTAGCCAGACTCTTGCCTCAGCGTTCAGCATATTGGACATCGTATCACGGATACAACAGGGCAGCACTGGTGCCAAATCGGCCATTTGTGGCGTTGCGCGTTCGCTTCACAGAACACGAATGCGACAATGTGCATTTGTTCGTGGTATCTACAAAGAAACGTACCAGCGGCTCATATGCTGACTGCGACATGCCTCTGGTTTCGCGATCAGACGATGCACGAGTCGGACTTGACGGCGCACTGCGCGCGGTGCTCCTCCTGCCAACGTCGACCACATCCTTGTATCTTCACACATTCCCCGGAATACAGGCTCGGGATGTCATCAGAGTCGATAATAGCGTATTCAAAGACGACAAAGGCGACAAGCACAAGCTCGACGAATCGAGTTTCGAAAGATTCTGGTCGAAGGCGTGGAACGAAGCGCTGAAGTTTAGAGAGAAGGGATGGAACTCCAAGACTATGAAGACGCGAAGCTCTGGGGGAGAACAGCCCGTGCAAGACAAATGGGATACATTCAGCAAGGACGTGAACGATGTAGAGTACCTACACGACCCTTTAGGCCGGTGTGTGTTTGAGCGTTTGGAATTCAATGCCCGGGACCTACCGCTTTCAGAGGAGCCGTCGATCTACCGGGAGCTAGCGATATATGACCAGTAAGCAATAGAACTTACGAGTTGCGTCGAGTACTAATGGTGCCCTGATAGGCTAGCGGCCGACTTCTCCTGGCGAGGCGTCGATCGGTCAATCGCCTGGGTCGAAGCCATGAGACAGGTATGCGATTCCAGTCAGTGACGCTTTCGTGGTCTTACGCATATCAGCTTGACAATGAAGGATCTTTGTTGAGGTTCTCGCTAGACACTGCGGGACCGTGCTCAGGAGAACCCCCGTTATTCTCTGCTGCTGTGGAGGAAGATGCAGTGACATTGCGCGCAATGCAAGTCCCCGTTGACGGGGACCCTCCTCCTGCAACTGCAGCCGAAGAGGTTGTAGAAGCCGGCTGGGGAGATGACCCAGAGCCTGATTTCTTGATGGCACCGGTGGTTCGTCCACCTGTCGTTGCTGACGAAATCAAGGTCGTAGTCTTTGACCTGTACGGAGTGATCTTGGTGAGCAGTTGAGTCATTCGTGCGGCCACTCGCTCACCTTAGTCGTCACCTCACTGGTGTAGGACCGTCAAGAGGGTTTGCGCTGTGCACTGCGCACGTTCCTTCCTCTGGACCCCCACCAGCATACCATAGACGGTCTAATGTGACTATACCTCGAGGCTGAAGCCCATCTCATTCGTGATACCCCTGACATATTTGGCAAAGGCTTGGTCAGTGCCGCGCTCGGGAACATGTTGCGTACTGTCGGCTTGTGTCCTGCAGACGACATAACCCAGCGTGCCATCGATGCTATATGCCCAACTCCTTACGACGATGTCTCCGATGCTTTGAGGACTCTGCATGCGCGCGGCCACCACCTTTTGTGTATCACTCCTCGCGATGCATCACACATTAGGTTCTTTTCCTCTCCTGAACTCCGCACACTCTGTGTCTCGGCAGCTCACCTGCATACTCAAACGGAAGATATATGCTCTCAAGTGGTCGAAGAATGCCAGTCAATTGTCCCGGAGATCAAGAGCACTGAGATTCTCCTTGTCACAGCCGGGCTATACAGGATCGTTGAGCTCGCGAATGCAGCTGGGATACCGACCGCACTTGTCCAGCGGCCAAGCGTAGACGAAGCTCGGCTCGAGCGCGCGACGGGGCAAGACGAACTATCGTCGCCTACGATGACTATCAGAGGACTGGGAGAGTTGTGTGATAAGCTGGATATGATGCGCTCTGGGAGTCTTGGTTAGAGTGAGGCTTAATGGGTTCTATATCTTCTGTTATGTTACTGTCGTTGCATTGCTATTGCTTGCTTTTCATGGACAGACTTAACTATATCACCGCTCAGTTTGCTGTTTGCCAGATTGACGGGATACAAGTATTTCTTTCTCACTGCACGTGAAGTAATTACCGTTTAGGGAGGTAAGCGCCCCTTCGGGGGAATATCCCCAGACGCTGGAATATTTCCTTATGCTGCCAGAGACAGTTCGATCTCCGTCATACAGAGATAGTTCGATCTCCGCATACTCGTCAGCGGTCGTCTCGCGAGACCCGCCGACGTACTTGTTTGCCATTAGACCTTGAATGTAGTGTATCAGACACGCGGTGATCCATTGGGCTGCTCCTACATTCGCATCGAGCAACGACCGTCATGCCGTTTCATCCCTTCCGAATCTGCAACTTTTACCAAGTTTCCTCCATACTAGGTCATGGTGGCTTCGGTTCGTTAATATTCTTTAATATGCTTCTACAATCTGTTGCTAAGTCCCAACGCCTAGGCACTGTATATCGCGGCTTGCACCTCCTCACTAGCGAATGGGTTGCTATCAAAGTCGAGATGCCTCCCGAGAAAGAGGAACAGCCAGCGATGCTTCCGTACGAAGCCGCTATCTACAAGCTGCTACGCGGGAAGCAAGGAATCCCATGCATCCGTTGGAGCGGGATGTACGGAGGAGCACACGTCTTAGCTATGGATATGCTGGGTTCCAACCTGGACCAGCTTCGCCGAGTGTGCCGTAGTCAGTTCACTCTGCGGACCGTCCTGATACTTGCGGAACAAATGGTAGGACGTCATCATCTTGGCGAGGCCGGCATTGTGAGCTTACCTGCCCGGATAGTTGGACAGGGTTGAATTTGCGCATTCAAAGGGGATCGTTCTACGTGATGTGAAACCAGACAACTTCGCTATGGGGCATGGACACCTTGCCAACATCGTCCATTTGTATGATTTTGGGCTCTCAAAACTGTATCGTGATCCAGAGACTGGTGCGCATATGGCGTACAGAGAAGATCGCCAGAGACTAGGGACGATACGGTACGCGAGCCTGAACATGCACTTGGGCCGAGGTATGCCACCGTCGAAGCTCCTGAGCACCGTGTGCTGACGAAACATATGGTATAGAACTAAGCCGGCGCGATGATATGGAATCACTTGGTTACTCTCTCATCTACCTGCTCAATGGACGTCTGCCATGGCAAGGGATCTACGCTCCAGACGTCGATTGGAAGATTCGTCGCATTCGTGAGATGAAAGCTGGGAAAGCTCTCGAGGACCTCCTGTCATCTGCTCCGCCGGAGTTTGGGCAGTACTTCGAGCACTGTCGTGGGCTGAGGTTTGAGCAGAAGCCTGACTACGCATATCTGAAGACGCTCTTCAGGAAGAGGATGCAGAGTGAAGGCTGGCAGTACGATAGTAAGTTGGATTGGCTGGACCCATCTGTTCTTCCGAAAGGTAGTTTGCTTCCTGACGAGTACAAAGCCGAGCACTGCTTTGTGGAGGATGATAAGTGGGACGTTCAGTAGCCAACGTGGAACGTGATCTCCAGCGGCCGTACTATATACTGTGATGATGTCAACTGCGTGAGAAATGTTATCCTGGTGGTTCATTACATGGTCATTTGACTGGAATCTCATCCTCGAATCATCTAGGTTTCTCGTAAATACCGTTTGCTGGTTTGGTTTTAGTGTCAACTTTGCCTTACGAGACACTGGTGCCTGCGGAGCTGGCAGACTGTCTGAAGATAGAACAATTAACAAAGCATTTGAACCATTCGAGGAAATGCCGACGAGCGTGAATGGAAGCTAGCTGCACATTAATGCCCACGCTACAGAGGTGTACTGGAAGTACCTGGTAGATAGTTGTCCGGCACATGCAATTTCTCACTACGCAGGTTGCCAATGACGCCCTTGACCATTGTGTCATGTGTTGGGCGCATCGCTTCGGGGAGAGCTTTCAACGGCGGCTGGAATGCCGCTTCGTCACCTGCTCTTAGCCTTTGAGCAGCATATCACATCGGAAAGAATGACAGATCAGCTCTCGCAGGACAGAAGAGGAGATACTTCTGTGAGAAACATGGTGCTCGACGGGCAGCAGAAGATGAAGGCCATCGTTAGCCTTCCGCGCGCCATCCTAGGAGTTAGTGCGCCTACTCGGCGAGGAGTAAATGGCATAGCTCGCACAGTCGTTCAAATATGTATGCCGTCAAGTTAGCACATAAGTAAATTGTGTCAAAGAACGACAGTCGGAAAGCTCGTTCTTTATGTCTTGGAAACTACCTCAGAGCTTCGCAGCTCTGCTGGCCAAGAGTGTATACAATCCTGGGCGCCATAAATCAGAGAAATCAGCGCATCATCTCAAGTTTGATCATATGCACGACACCGGACCTGAGCCATGCACTTGCACGCACGTCAAGCCCCTGCTTCAGGTTAGAGTCGAGTTTCGACGGGGGATAAGTAGAACTGGCCGATGGACACAACATTGGACACAGAATTTGGTTTTATCTATACCGCTTGCATGAAGCGTTCGAGTATGAGCAAACGTAAGCAAGGACATATTTAGCATTGCACGACATTACTCGAAGAAAAGAGTACTAGAGGCCGCCGGGCCGGAGGCGCATCAGTCTGCCACGGGACAGCGAGTTGGGCGCATCAAACATTCCTCCTGCCTTTCTGGGCCGCCACGTATCGAACATCACTATCATTGACCGATCAGTATTCGATACTGCGTTCTGAGTTCTGACCTGGCACTTGATCGACCGTCAATGCACATGCAACTACATTGTATTCGAAGCTTCACACTACGAACATTCAAGCCAGGCGCATTGTCTGAAACAAGTTGTTCTTCGATACTCGTCTGCGGGAGCGGGAACGTGTCCTGGATTGTCGCGACATTTTCTGGAAAGACAATCCTGGACTACATTTTCCCAAACCTGTGTGATATATCCTTTATCTATTGCTGAAGTGAAGCCCAGTCTTCGAATGCTACGGCTTGGTTCTGCGGACCCAGATGGACAGATCTGAACCATTACAACTATTGTATAGCTTCACTACTTACACGGTACGCAAGCGGATTGTGGAGTTCAACCGCTGAACAATAACTATGTCATAAAAGCAAGGTCTGATTCCAGGACGCACAGAAGCTTCAGAATGGTTCGGCCAATAGTATAATGTAAACGTCCCATGCAGCACCAATGTGCCACTGTGTGGAACGGACAGATAAAGATTATCGTGACCCTTCATCCCGTCGATGTGTCGTTCAACTCAACTTAGGACCTTGTCCGCGAATCCGAACTCTGTGAGTCTGGACTCTGACGAGCGATCTGTTGCATATACTGATTTCACGTGCAGGTTATATTTGATTATCTCAGTTGTTTCTATATACATATATGTATGAGCTGTTTAAGACTAGTCGTCAACGGCACTGAGGTAAAAGCATAGTATGACAGCCTGACGATAACTTAAATGTGAGCATCTCGTCTCGTCTCGTTTCCTGAAAATTGCTCACCTGCCAGGAAAAAAGATTGTATAGTGTCTGTAGGTCACAAAACGCCTCCCGCGTCACAATCCAGTGTGGTACAAAGCGAGGAACGAGTACATAGCAATGGTCCGAGCGTTTGACTGACAGGGCCCAAGCTCGACGCGGTCACGTTACACCTGTGGCCGCGCCATTGTCTCTACCCAGATACTCACGTGGGTGCAGTTGTAGAGCCGTGGCCGAAACAGACTCTCGCTCTTTCCACATCCACAACCTGCAACTCTCCTCTGCGACTCCACCTCGCGCTACTCCTAAGCTCACATACTCTCATCACAATACCCCAATCACACCACCAAAGCTTCCATTCATCTCTCAGGACTCCATAAGAATGGCCGGCAACAAGAACAACCGCACTAGGTGGGCCGCCGGGACGCGCTTTGGCGTGTGGCGACTGCGGGTACGCTGACTCTCGACCGCTTTGATAGACCACCCAACACACGCTCCCGCACCGCCACGGTGGCGGCCTCATTCTTGGCTGCGGTAGACGCGTCCAGACAAGCGGGGCCCTCTCGTCTCGCGGCACCTCCCCATGCTTCCCCTGGCGCGTCCACACGCGCGGGCCCCTCTCAAGCAAGGTCGCCAACTGTCGACCTTCTCTTCCCATCGGCGATCCCTCTCGACTCGCTGCCCCGCATCCCTCGACGCACTGGCGTCGCCGCCACGCACCAAGTGGCGATTGACCTGGATGCGCCGTTATACCCGGGGTAAGCAACCGTGTCCACCAACATCAACTGTTCCTCTAACCACTCATCGTGTTCGTTTGGCAGGATTACCACCAATGCGTCGCCTTGGCAAATGCGACTCCGGCGACGCACACCAGCTCCTGTGGCACGCCCCTCCGGAGCGCCACTCGGCACTGCTCCCCGCGCTCCCACCTTGCGCCGCGCGCCACTCAGCGCGCTCCCTACGCCTCAGCCCACTGCCGCCACTCAGCGTGGGAAAAAGCGCCACCGCGAGGACGACGAGGCAGCTCAAGACCCGGGAGAAGCAGGAGCGGCGGGCGACCGCCCTCCCTCTAAGCGCACCCGCACGCCTGTTGGTGGCGTGCCACAGCGTGTGACGCGGTCGCGCGCACGTCTCGCCGAGGTGCACCTTGGCGACGAGAATGTTCCTCCCCCACCTGCGGCACAAGCATTGAGACGCGGGGGAGAACATGAAGTAGAGAACGATACGGAAGAAGAGGAAGAAGAGGATGAGGAGATGCTCGATGCCCAAGACGAGGACTACGAGGCCGAGCAAGGGCACGTCCACCACCGTGGTCACAGTAGCACCAAGAAACCTCCGCGGCGGGCGGTCCAGCCCCCTCCTATTTTTCTTCCTGAGGACTCTGCACCCCAGGTCCCGTATCCGTGTGGCATCCCCGGGTGCAATAGGGACATCGGCTTAAACAAGAGCGATGTCACTACCCACATGGACACCTTCCACGAGGGCTTGTCTTCACGAGCGTGTCCATGGCCCGGGTGCAAAAAGCGAAATTGTGGCAAGAACCCAGAGGAAGCACTTGCGCGCCACGTCCTGGCTGAGCACGGCCCTCTCACCTTTTGGAGATGTCCGAAGTGCAGCGACAAGTCGAAGCCACAACAGCGCAAGGATTCGTTCCAGCGCCACATCAAATCGTGCAGGTATGTGTAGCTCTTGCATTTGTTGTACATTATTATCTGACTGCGGCAAACAGGGGTCAGAAGTGTCGAGCCAAAGGACGCTCAAAGAAGGCTCAAAAACAAGACACGAGAAAACCCACGGCGGCGTCGCAGGTTGAAGTTGTTCCACAGGTAATTGCTCCCCCCAATATACCAGCACCCCAGGGGGAAGTCCCGGACGTCGGCACCTCGATCGCAGTGGCGGCATCTCAGGGAGCGGATGTGACCAGTACACCCGCAGCGTCTGTGGGCGAGGATAGTACCGAGGGATTCGATGAGGAATCTGAACAGATGTTGGACACTCCTTGGCATTACCCTATCGACGCCGATGATATCATTTGGGACCAGATCGCTGGCCTCCCACGGGCCTCATCCCCCCATGATTCCGCAGGCGATGTTGGTGGAAGCGAGGCCACTCTTGGCGATCATCCCGAAGTGATGGATTTCGTCGAAGATAACCTTAACTTGTCGCCAGAGGCTTCTGAGCCGCCCTTTACTGAGGGAGGTCCCCATGAGCTTCTCCCGAATCCGGCCGATGAAGACCTTTTCGATCAGTGGATAGTTTCAGAAGCTCTGCAAGACTGAGCGGCGGTGCCACTCCGATGTTCGCCGTTTTTGCATCCCTCCCCTGGATTCACCCGCCAACGACGCGCGGATCTGCGTTGCCCGTACATGGCGCACGCGTCCTGGAGCTTCCTCTAGAGGATCCATCGAGCAACAAGACACTCCTTGCTATGGAGACATCAATCACGCTCTCAATGATCCTCAACTTCCCTCCGCTTTGGTCGTCAGGGTCGATTTTGCCCTTGTTGACTGTACGTAAAGTCGGACCGATCGCTGTGCTATCCTTGCTCTCGTCAAATACTTGTCATCTCTGCTAGTCGCTTTGACATAATATTCAAGTCTGTTACTCTTGGGATGAATTTGTGTTGTACTTTTAGATTACTTGGTTCTGTATCTGTCGTGTTTATTTTGTATTATCGTTGCGAATAGCTGTCATTCCAGTGATGTTTTGTGTTTTTTGGTATCTGGATCTGATAAATGTCACTCGAATGGCGATGTTCTTGGCTTCTCTCCCATGAATTTTCATGCGGGAGGTCGTCCTTTATCGAAATGAAAGTGATTTATCGAATGATAAGGGAGCCCTGTGGTAGCTGCTCGATCGGAGTGGGGTGATGGATCGACATAGGCGTGAAGCGCCAGAATCGCCTCCTGGGGTTTATACCCTACTACCCACTCCTGAACTCTCATAACGAGATGGGTGCCACGCAGTCCGTATCGTCTCCCTCTGAGATTCCTACCATGCCATTAGAGCATGACTCTCATTGGGCTTCCTATCCCCGGCTTGAGGGAGTAGACTATCCCGGAGAAGAACCACTTTCGTTGCCATTGAAGGAAGGCGCGGGATGGCCTCCATATACTCTCGGGCAGTTTTTGCAAGCTCACCAGGGCAGATACCAAATCATCAGAAAGCTAGGCTGGGGCGACTACGCTAGTGTATGGCTAGCTCGCTCGGAAAGGTATGTTTTGCTACGAGCCATTGGGTTTACGACTTACTAGAATACGTTTATGCTCCTTAGCTAGTACTGCTACGGCCCTCAAATATGTGGCAATAAAGGCGTCGTCATGTCAGACAACGGTTCTCCATGTTAGACACAGGCTTTGGGAGAGAGAAGTGCTTAGAAGCATTGCGAATGCTGATCCAACTCATCCTGGCTACAAGTATTGCACCCCATTACGAGAGTTGTTCTTGACGAACACTGTACATGGTACCCATGTGAACTTTGTGACGGGCGTGCTTGGGCCTAACCTCAACCAATTGTACCACCGTTTCCCTCGTGGACCTGCGCGCACTGTTGTTGCGAAACGAATCACGAAGCAGGTCCTCCTCGCGCTCTCGTACCTTCACGGGCCGTGCCAGAGCATTCATACTGGTGAGAGATCATTCTGATGGGTTTACCTCTATCGCTCATAGGCATTCTGAGACCTCAAACCCGCGAACATTCTCATCGCCTTTGACAATCAGGATCAGGTCGTAGATCAGGTCCTTGAGACTTCGCCGTCCGTTTCTTACCCCCCAGGATTCGTTCCGGATCTGGAAGGCGGGTCGACCGTCACTCCTGTCAAAACCCAGACACTTCCTCCCGTTGGACTTGAAGAGGATATGAGCAACATCAAAGTGTGTCTTGCGGATTATGGCCACGGTGAGCACCACATCTACGGTCGCGTCGCAGCGGCTCCCTGAGCTTTCATCTGCACAGCGATACCGTGTGCGTGCGAACGCCCTGCAGCAGCACAACCAGAGCTTCTTCGTGCACCAGAAATTGTCCTGGAGCATAAGACACCGTGGTCGTATCCCATTGACATCTGGTCACTCGGCTGCCTTGTATGCTTCTATTTATTTGATGTGCCGACGACTATCTGACATGGGTGTCACTTGAGGTATTCGAATGGGTCTCTGGGGCGACTTTGTTTCAGATACCAGACACGTTGCGCACTGCAGAAGAACGAGAGCGCAAGTATGTAGAGCAGATGGTAATCTTTCTTGGTCGCGAGGCATTCTCGGAGGCATTCCTCAAGGACTGTGCTCGTCGCGATGAATTTTTTGATAAAGACGGTCTGTTAACTAGCTTCTCCCCGTTGCGTGTGGCATGACTAACGATCTCGACGAATACGACAGGAAACCTATTGACTGGCGACGCCGAATACCGACCCGCGGAAGTGTGCTTGGAAACGTACAAGGATCGATTTGATGCGAGCGATCTTCAGGCTGCTGCTGCATTCATTAGGCGGTGCATGGCCATCGACCCTAGTGCGAGACCCTCGGCCGAGGATCTACTGCAAGATGACTGGCTGAAGGATCTGGATATTTGAATTGTTGCTTCACTCCAAGGCCTCTCATACATAAGCACGACCAGTGTGTTTCCGAAGTGTGCATTCTGCTACCAGGCGCCATCGTGCACAAACACTGCGCAGTGCAGACTACGAGACTGCATGATAGGGCCGGGCTCCCAGCTGCGGAGCATGTATCCATGTATTCCTACCGTCTGATGTCCGCTATATGGGACGAGATCCACGCTTCTTGCTCTCTGTCCACAGGCTAATAGCAAATCATGTCACAACTATTGGTCCGGTTATCGATTCCCTTGGAAGGTTGCCTTCGACAGCCTCTCGCCATCCCTGCGCTAGTCGTATCAGCGCAATTCTTCTGTCCCATCAACACGAGCTTCGTCACGCTGACCTAACCAGCAACGACCTCTAGTCCATCATGGCCCCCGTCGGGGTCTAAATCAGCTATGTCGTGCCTTAAGCACCTTGGACGTCTTCAGTGACGGAGACAATCAGCGTCTGTACTTCTGAGCCGGTCGATACCCTTGTCTCTTTGCCCTCGTGACAATTCAATGACAGTATAGAATGTAAAACCTTCACACCCACAAACGTAGATCACCCGGTGTTGCTGCTCCTACAATACATGAATTAACCTGAGCGGAGGCTATGTAGAATACGGTCTATTCAGATGCATTCATGAGCTGCAGCGGTGTAGCGACAACAAGATATCAATGGATATGGTCAGATCTCTCTCCGACTAAAGCTCCCTGAGCGCACCAACTCCAGCTGGTCACACAATTCTCCAAACCCCTCGGCAATCATTGTGGGTGCGGATAGCTTATCCTTACCTGTTGCATGCTCGAGCCGTGCTTCAAGTACGCCCGGACGCCTGAGTAGTGCGGTCGGTATACCGGCCGCGTTAGCCAACTCAATGACCCGGTAGAGCCCAGCCGTGACTAGAAGAATCTCGCTGCCCTGGATTTTGGGATCCATTGAACGGCAGCGCTCAAGCACGTGTGAACAGAAATCTTCGGACTGGCAGTGTAAATAGGCCAATGGAATGCCGATAGTATCGAGATTAAGCGCAAGGAAGAGCTCAATAGACAGAGAATGCGGCAAAGAATCGGATGGGTACATACACAGCAGTTGATAGCCGCGTGCACGCAGTGTGTTCAAGGCATCAGAGACGTCGGTGTAAGGAACTGGCAGTATAGCATCACGAGCGCTCTGTATAGTGTCGTCTGTGGGGCACAAGCCGACGGCGCGCAGCGTGTCGTCAAGCACCGCATGGACCAACTTGTTGCCGGAGATATCGGGGGCGCCATGAACGCGGTGGGCTTCAATTTCGAGGTAAATTCCTACCAACTTGTCCACATCGTGCTCGTGTGTATCTAGAGGAAGAAACGTGCGTAGCGCACGGCGCAAACCCTCTTGGCGGTCCTGTGCCAACAAGGTGAGCTAATGACTGCACGAATGACTCGATTACTTACCAAGATCACTCCGTACAGGTCGAACACCACGACCTTGATTTCACCGACAACGACAGGCGGGCGAGCCACAGGTGCTATCAAGAATCGGGCTCTGGGTCATCATCCCAATCCATTACTACAGAATCTTCTTCAGTAGTCACAGGAGGGGGGTCCCTGTCGACGGGAATCAGCATTGAGCATAATGCTACTGCATCCTCCTTCAAGGCAGCAGAGAACAATGGCAGCTCCCCGGAGCACAGTTCCACATGGTTCAACGAGTACTTGGCGAACGACCCTTCGTTGGCAAACTGACATATGTAAGGCCACGGAAGTGTCGCCGACTGAAATTACACACCTTCCTCATAGCTTCGACCCAATAGATCGACTGTTTGACTCCCCGCCATGAGTAGTCAGCCACGAGCCTAGCAGAGCATCATCAGCACTCAATGCAAGCTCGTTAATTCCATGGCTCACTGGTCATATATCGCTAGGTCTCGATAGATCGACGGCTCCTCTGAAAGCGGGAGGTCCTTAAACTCGAGCCTTTCGAACACACACTGACCCACAGGGTCGTGTAGGTACTCTACGTCATTTCTGTCCTTGCTGAATGCACCCCAGTTGTCTTGCACGACTTCGTCTCCTCCAGAGCTTCGCAGCTTCATCGTCTTGAATCCCCATTCCTTCTTTCTGAACCTCAGAGCTTCGCTCCATGCCTTCGACCAGAATCTTTCGAAGCTCGATTCGTCGAGCCTGTGCTTGTCGTCTTCGTCGTCTTGGGATATAGTATTACCGCCTGCGGAGCCTTCCTGCGCCTGCATTCCGGGGAATGTGTGAAGATATAATGATGTTGCTGAGGTCGGTAAAGGAGGCTCAGCGCGAAGTACGCTGTCAAGTCGAACATTGTCTGGTTGTGAAACAAGAGGTATGTCGCAGTGAGCATACAAACCTCCATTACGCTTCTTTGTGGATACCAGGAACAGATGCACATTGTCACACTCATTTTCTGTGAAGCGAACACGCAACGCCACAAATGGCCGAGTGGGCAAGAGTGCTGCCCTATGATATCCGTGCCACGATGTCCAATATGCTGAACGCTGAGGCAAGAGTCTGGCCAGGACAAAGGACTGTGCGTGGACTACAACTGGCTCGGCTTGCATCGTCCGAGAACCCAGAGTAGGCGGGGTCAAATTTCAACGTGAAGGGCTCACGAACCCTGTCCCCCAAGTACAGCGGCGCCCGTTTGCGCGTGATTAGGATCTCTTGATCTACCGGCGCTAACATTGACAAAGGGCGGATACCGTCTTCTCGCACCTTGGACCATGATGCAGTAGGGAAACATCGTGCTCAGGTCTGAACCGATCACTCAATCGAGGTACATGAGATACAGCTTAGCCATAGAATGCTCGGTTATACCCACCGTCTTATTTATGATGGTGCCGATTAGGGTAAGATATGCATGAATATACCATACAGCCATATGACTGCGCTGAAATGCGTACCCTCAGCGGCGATGCCTGGGCTATTGTAAGAATATGCATTCGCTCGAACGACTTACATCATCACTGTACAAACGGACATGAAGCGAATCTAATCGATTTCAAAGATCATTCGGGTTTGCCTCGAGAAGGGTTTCGCAGCTGTCGGCGCATTCTGAGCAGCTGTTAGTTACTTTGTGCCTCTCTGTATGCACTACTGCAGATTCTTCTTATATATAGAGATCTGTGTACCGGGGTGAGCGAGGGGTTACAGGCGGCTAGAAATAACGTTCCACGTTGGCTACTGAACGTCCCACTTGTCATCCTCCACAAAGCAGTGCTCCGCTTTGTACTCGTCAGGAAGCAAACTACCCTTCGGAAGAACCGATGAGTCGAGCCAATCCAACTTACTATCGTACTGCCAGCCTTCACTCTGCATCCTCTTCCTGAAGAGCGTCCTCAGAAATGCGTAGTCAGGCTTCTGCTCAAACCTCAGCCCACGACAGTGCTCGAAGTATTTCCCAAACTCCGGCGGAGCAGATGCCAGGAGGTCCTCAAGAGCTTTCCCGGCTTTCATCTCACGAATGCGACGAATCTTCCACTCGACGTCTGGAGCGTAGATCCCTTGCCATGGCAGACGTCCATTGAGCAGGTAGATGAGAGAGTAACCAAGTGATTCCATATCGTCGCGCCGGCTTAGTTCTATACCATACGTCAGCACACGGTGCCCAAGAACACTCGACGATGCATACCTCGGCCCAAGTGCATGTTCAGGCTCGCGTACCGTATCGTCCCTAGTCTCTGGCGGTCTTCTCTGTACGCCATATGCGCACCGGTCTCCGGATCACGATACAGCTTTGAGAGCCCAAAGTCGTACAAATGGACGATGTTGGCAAGGTGTCCATGCCCCATGGCGAAGTTGTCTGGTTTCACATCACGTAGAACGATGCCCCTTGAATGCGCAAACTCAACTCTGTCCAACTATCAAGACGGATAAGCTCACGATATATATCTTACCAGGATGATGACGTCCTACCATTTGTTCCGCAAGTATCAGGACGGTCCGCAGAGTGAACTGACCACGGCACACTCGTCGAAGCTGATCCAGGTTGGAACCCAGCATATCCATAGCTAGGACGTGTGCTCCTCCGTACATCCCGCTCCACCGGATACATGGGATTCCTTGCTTCCCGCGTAGCAGCTTGTAGATAGCGGCTTCGTACGGAAGCATCGCTGGCTGTTCCTCTTTCTCGGGAGGCATCTCGACTTTGATAGCAACCCATTCGCCAGTGAGGAGGTTCAAGCCGCGATGTACAGCGCCTAGACGTTGGGTTTAGGACTTAGCAACAGACTATAGATGGACATTCATGAAGAATAACGAACCGAAGCCACCATGACCTAGCATGGAGGAAACTTGGTAGAAGTTGCAAATCCGGAAGGGAGGAAATGACATAACGGCTGTTTCTCGACACGAATGTAGGAGTGCGGAGGAGGATTGCCCATGCACGTATGCCAGAGTCTCGTTTGTAGCTGAATGGATCACTGCGTGTCTGATACATACCCAACGGCGAACGTAACAGGTCTCGCTTGCGAGTCGTGACAAGATTATCGCCCGTGTGATGTCACAGTAACATCCAGATATTCTCCGGCTTGATGATGTTCCAGCAACCCTGATGCTGTACAAAACCAGGTGAAGAATCGAAGGTCGGTCTCTCTAGAGAAACGATACTCACAAAAAGTAGGCTTGAGCGTCGATAGGAAGGAGCGAAGTCCGGTCAATGGGTTCTGCCGTCGCCCCACCTTTGTTTAATCCCGGTTGTCACTACGGGGCGACTGCTGCCCGTTGAATTGGCAGTCCCTGCGGACGGAGTCCCGACGGCGTCGGAAAAATGACGTCTATGAGGCACGACTCGACAACACAAGTGCGAACAAGACCACAGACAAGTAAAGTAAATGGCCCTTTGGATAGCTTCTTCGATGTCGGTGATTTGTCTTGTAGTCTAGGTTAAGCCTAAGATTCTATCTCGATATGGATGGCACTCTAACTACCGCTACTTTCGTTACACAGAAGATATACGGCCGTGAGCCCCAGTGCGAGACCCTTCGCTGACAACTTGCTCAAAGGCGAGCGGTCACAGGTTATCGTCGTCTGCCGGGTCTTCTATGCCACGCTCTCATATCTGATCACTGAACCATTCGTGTTTTGTCCCGATGACTCGGCAAGAAACCACTGTGGTAATGAGTACACATCCTATGAGCCTTTTCTGTCAAGAAGATCCCCGTACAACATCTGGCCAATAGATAGGGTTCGTAAGAAGCGATTCTCGGAATCTATCTCTCAGCCTACCGTACTGTCGGAAAGCCCTCCATCGACCCGCGCTCGCTCGGGAGTCCGATGCTCGCATGGGGCGCAAACGGACACGCCTGCCTATGGTTTGTATTCCCTCCATGTCTGCCTCAGGCTCATTTGTTCTTCCCAATACACCGACAAGCTCGAGGTGTTGAGACACACGAGGGGGCCACGTTTGTGGATGTAAATGCTCATGCGCGTGGCGTGCGTTAGCGGATAGACTTGATCTGCGTTCCACTGCCAGAAATGCATGAGGACATGAGTGACGCCACTTCCAAACGTCACACTGCGCTATTACTGACATGTTCTCTTTGGCTTGTGCAAGGTCATGCTCCTTAAAGTGTAGAGAGCTTAGACTGATTGAGGTGCGCGTGGTCTTGCAGGGTAAGCTGCATCTTCCTAGCTGCTCGCTTCTTTGTCGTGGCGTATACTACGAGCCCTACGCTTCGGTTAGAAGCTACTCACATCGATAAGCCCCAATGTGAGTAGCTTCTTCTGCATCGCAAAGATTGGACTACACAGAGGCCCCGAATCAAGGGTCCGGTACTTCGTGGCTGATACTGGCCCACGGTGAGTCAACATGTCTATTTCAAGCATAATAGCAGTCTGTGTGACTGCGGAACGCATATCCATGTATGCTTAGCGTGTAGATGCATTCCGGAAGTACGGCATGTACTGTGCGCGCTGTATGGGAAAATATGTACCTACCCTCAATTCACAGCCTGACGACGAATGATGCTATCTGCCTGTGGACTGGTCCCCACTTACCTTTGATGGTCACAATGGCGATCTTCAACGGCCTCTCACGATTCCTTCGTGAGTCGTGTTCATGGAGCGGAGGAAACACGCCGACATGAAATCGACAATGTGGCAGTAGGTGTGTATGCTTTTTTGATGAAGATTTACAATGGGCTGACTACCCTGTCAAGATATATAGTTCGTGACTGTGACTGTGAGACCCAGTCTG